TTCATGTCCCCTGGTACAAAATACATCCTTAATATATCTGCAGTTTCTTCCTCCATGATTTCTAGTCTACATTCTTAGCAGTGGGTATGGTCTACATACTTACCAGTCAGTATCATGTATCTTTGTTTACGTACAGCATTTGATACTATTTGTACACAGAGGCAGAGGTAATATTTGTTCCATGGATCTTGTATGGTTCATATTCTTTAAATAAGACTCTAAATACACTATCTGGAAAACATGCAAATGGCACTCTTTTGCTATGTTGTTTTGTCACGCATTAAAACATAACTTTTTACTGGTATGAGTTTTATAGAGAGAAGAATATATTCAGGTACAGTCTTTTTGGTCTGTAAAGCTTTTCAAGCATTTCTGATAGTTTAAAATGTCTGTGTCAAGTATTAATTCAGTGATTCTCGAGAAACTATTATGTGGATTAGTAGAAGCACCAGTGTTCTACTTCTAAACCTATAATCTGCCTTGTATTTTCCTTTTCTATCTTCTAAGATATTTAAAGGGCCAAAGTCTTTTACCAAAAGAATGTGTTTATTTTTAGATCATTTTCCAAACATACACGGTGCCACGGATCAACTGCTGTTTATTGATTTGTTGTGTCAATAATTCCATTAACTGTGCTTCATATAATTCAGAATATGCGCTACTGCCCAAACATATGGTGTGGCACCAACAGCAGGGGACAAGAAGGAATGAGCATGAAGAAATTAAAGTTCAGACAGCGCTTCCCTCATATGCTATTAAGTTACTTAGTTCCAGCACACGGTGTTGAAGGAAACTTTACTTAGTGCCTTTGTTGAACTGTTCTGACAGATTCCAACACTTAGTCCTTTAAATAATAAGTTTGGTGAAAACCTAAAAGGAAGAAAATAAAAAGAAAGTGGATTCCACCACTAGATTAATTCTGTTGTTTATAAAGAATGTCTTTTACAATTAATATTTTTTCCCCATTATGTAAGAAAACATACTGTGGGATACCATATATAGTAAACTTCAAGTTTGTATTGGATCCATCTTTGCTCTTGCTGTTTGCTCTTTCTTCTCTGTTGTCCCTGTATCCCGGATAAATATTTATTGCATTCGTGTCCTTCCCTGAAGTTTAAGCCTTTGCACAAGCAGGCACAAAGTCACTGACAAATTGATATGAAACCTTGACTGCACTGTATGGTAAACTCTTGGTAAACTCTTCCTCTTTTGCACTTGACAGATTTTTTAACTTTTTTTTTAGCAGGCGTTGATAGGACAACCTCAAGTACATCTGATTATTAGTATTTATTTCATGTTAAATCTGCAGACGGTCATAGATTAATCTTCAGGGCAGAGTATACTATTGTATTGACTTATGGGCTGGATTTGGCTGTAAAATCAAATGCAAGAGATATTTGTTACTAATATGTGTGTATACTTGTAAATCTCATAGAATTACAGCATCGCTGAAGTTGGAAAAGACCTCTAAGATCATCTGGGCCAACTGTCAACTCATCACCACTGTACTCACTAGCCATGTCCCACAGTGACACATCTACACATTTCTTGAATACCTCCAAGGACAATTACTTCACTGCCTCCCTGAGCAGCCTATTCCAATACCTCACTATTCTTTCTGAGAATAAATTTTTTCTGATATTTAATCTGAACCTCTGCTGACACAACTTAAGGCCATTAACTCTTGTCCTGTTGCTGTTACTTGGGAGAACAGGCCGATTCCCACTTACTTCCAGATACTTGTTAGAGTGAAACATAGTGATACACAAATCTTTTCAGCAAGGAAAGATACAACTATCCTCTCAAAAAGTAAACTTTGTTTATCAGATGTTGTTGTAAACCATGTAAGCTAAGTTTAAGGAAAAGAAAAAAAAGGTCAAATTGTTTCATTGGATTTTATCTGGTGTCTTTGGATTGTATGTGATATCTTCAATACCTTTTGAAGTATCTTTGAATGGATTCTCCACATCACTGCATTGAATAGAACAGAGCTATAAGCTACAGTCAAAAAACATTAAGGATGTAAGGATCTAAATGTAAGAATACATTTAGAAATGGAGACTCACTCAGCATTAATGTCAATTGTCTCCAGTTAGGATAAATCATTATGTGCACAGCTCTCTTTCCCTAAGCAGAGGACAAAGTTCTCAGTTACTCCCTCAGTTTAGGTTTCTTTTAGTTGTAGAATAACAGCAGAGTTGAAACTGAGTTGCTAGTGGCAGTGCAGTTCATGCGCGAGTTGCTCTCTTTAACAGCGTTTCCTTAGAACTGCTGTGCTGTAAGCAGGCTGTTAGGTGTGCTTGCTCAGTAGATGATCTTGGTCTCAATGTGTTGAGTAAATCAGCACTTTATAAAGGATTTATAACAGATAAAGGATTTATGTATTTATAAAAGCACAAACTTACAGTGCACCAACAGATTGAGAGTTTTCACTAGATGTCCATCTGGTGGGGAACTACCAAGGTCAATAACTTGGGGTTTTTTTCTATTGAAATGTGGTCTAAGTGAGAAGAGGAGGTATCAAAATAGACTTTGGGGTCTTGAGGTCTTCAGATGACTCACTGTTTCCCATTTATTTTTCTGTAGTAAATGATTGTTTGTTTGACTCCAGATTTCCAAACTCTCGTGGGCTACGAGAAAATAGTTGGTGTCTGTCGTTTCACAAGAATAATCTTGGTCTTATATATCGTAGCTGGAGAAAAGCGTTATAGTCAGTGTGTCCCTTTTTTGAGGGACAGAATGCAGTAGATGGTGGCCATGCTGCAGTTCTCATCTGGTAGATTCAGCCTGTGGTGGGTGAAGGTGAGAAGGCTAGGTGTGTGTGCTATGATGTAGAAGATATATTTTTGAGTGTATTAAGGAAACCAGAAAAGAAAAATGCCATTGATCACCATTCCAGGGCAGCTGTCTTTCATACCCATAAATGACCTGTCAAAAAGATCTCACATACTTCTCCTTTTCTTAATATGAAAATTTTGGTTGTTTTGTTTTTCTCTTCAGATTGGGCCTTTGATTGGAGATTCTGTGATGCTTAGCATGGAATCATAGCAGGTCTTGAACTATCTACCTGCAGCTATGGCTATCCCTGCCTCTGTTGCTGTGTTCTCAGGAGAAATCAGCTTCACTACATTATGAAATCTAGAAGGCTGAACTTCACCAGAGCATAGTTTTCATTCCTGATAGTCACAGGCCATTGTGACATAGGGCCTTGGCAGGTTCAGTCTGGCACTTGTACATTCCTGGTCACTATGCTGCTTCCACATCTACTTTGCATTCCAAGCTAGTACTGTACAGGTGGGGCATCTCAATATTTTGAGGTGAAGCCATAAAATGTTACGCCTCAAAGGATGAGCTTTCATGCAGCCGGCGCTTTGCATTGTTTAAGCGTTGGGAATGTGCAGTTACTGAACTCCTCCAAACTATGTTTTACTTGTAAGAAGCCATTCTTACATTCTTAAGTAACTGTTAAGTGACTTCACTAACAATCCTTTAAGAATCACTGTAATGTTTATGTGGATGCAGTTTCAGATTTTCTGGTTTAAACATTTTGTCTGTCTTTTGTCATCTCTTTTTTGCCTTTTATTCTATTTTAAAATTCTGAATATTCTCTTTATTCTCTTTTTTTTTTTTTTTTTCAGAGCATTTTTTTACTTTTTTTTTTTTTTTTTTTTTTTTTTTAATAAAGTTATAAATAAATATGACTTTAGTGAAGAGTAAATGTAATTTTGGGAAGTCTGTTTTTCGAACTAAAATAATATTCATGTGGGTGTGCATTACCCATTTCAGTAAAATTAAACTCTGCCATAATACACTGTTATTATAATCACATTTCTAAATGCTTCCACTCCACCCTTGCTATTTTCTCTGCCCACTCTTCTTCTCCTTTACCCAACCCTCCTTCTCCCTCCCCCCAAAAAAGCATTCATTTTACGTGTCTGCTTTATTGCATAACAAAGATACATATATAATTACTTAAAATCAAGGACTAATAGCACAAGCACAAGCATAGAATGCCATTAAAACCAATGACACAGGAAGGCTATAGCCAACTACTAAATCTGATACCAGCATATCCAGCCCCTTGTACCTTTCCTCTTTCCCCATCCTTCATACCTGCTTTACCTCATAGTCTTTTTGAGGAGCTCCTATCCCTTAGCTTCTTTTATGTCTTTCTGTACCTTTATTTTCTCCTCTTCCTCTACACCTCTTTCAGGCATACACACACACGCATATATATATATAAAACACCTACTTGTCTGTGCTTTCCTGTAGAAGCTAGAGTCACTGTTGGTGATGGTCTTGTTTCAGTTTTAAACTGCATAAGCATGTTTTGGTTTTGTTCCTGTGTGTTGCTCTTTTCCCCCTGAAAAAGTGCAGTAGAAGAAGTGAAATTTCAGTTTCCAATATTTTATAACTCACCCATAACTGAAAGTAAACCTCACAGAGAAAGTGCATTTCTCTCTATCCTGCTTTAATTCTCATGCTGAGTTTGCAAAAACTGCTCTAAATAATGAGCTGCTTCACAAATGTTTTCTATTTTGAAAGGCTTCTTAGATAACACAGTATAGTGAAGTGGCTACTGCAGCTTCTGTGAAATTGCACTGGAGATTATAGTTCCTGTCTGGCTCTGTATTAACTTCAGGAAATGTGATTCCAACAGACATGAAAAACAATGGAGAAAGCATAATTATACAGACACTATGCTTACCTGCAGGACTCACAGCAAAATTTTATGTTTCTCACATTATTGTGGCACCTGCGAGAAAGTGGAAAGATAACTGTGATCATAATGAACATCTCATCCAGACTTCAGGATAGTTCTGTATATTTTTTTGCATGCGCATTTTAATTTGAGAGGCTTGAATTTCTCTATTAATAGCTAGCATAGCATAATAGAGAAGATAGATAAGTTAAATTTCTATTCTATTTGTGAAATATCTGAGCAGAAAATTAAACCATATCAAGTTTTAACTGAAGCGTTTCATATCATCTTGCTCTAGGTTGTTGGAAGAGGAGCCTTTGGTGTGGTCTGCAAGGCAAAATGGCGAGCTAAGGATGTAGCCATTAAACAGATAGAAAGTGAATCTGAAAGAAAAGCCTTCATTGTAGAGGTACAGTAAATTTTTTGGCAATCACGGATTTTGGCAGAGCTTGTTTTCTTTACATGTTAAATTTGAGTATTGAAAGATATGTCTGTTTTACAAAGTCCCTGCAGCCTATGGTATCCAGTACAGTGCTAGTTAGGACAATTAGAGTGCACTGCACCTCCTTTAGCTCACTCCCATAAAACCTGGGAGGAAAGAAGAAAAGAGAGGCAGGGGAAACACCGCTTTTTGGATTCTGTCCCAATGTGACATCAAGTGACAGCTGAAATACCCATTAGCATCCTGGAGCTGATTACTTCCAGGTGCTTGAGCTAGAATCTTCATTCAGCAGCTTGAATCATGCTGTCATTTTCGTGTGTAGATTTGTTGATACATGGAACCACTGAGGACAAATCACTTGTCCATTCAATGTTTATTTCCTTAGAAAGATTTTGAGTAGCTCAGATATACTGGTAAATTTCCCAAGATGTATAATATTTTCTAGATTTGAGTTCTAGGTATTTTAAATGAGATGTAAAGAATGTCATGTTGCTTAGTAAGAATCTACAATTTTCAAGAAAGACAAAACTTGTTAAAATAAATCTCTCAGACACTGAACTACAAATGTAACATATTTAAGGACAGAAGGAAGCATATTTGTTACAGGTCACTATGTAAAAATGCTGTTCATTACCATTATAAGTTTTCAGTGTTTCTAATCTGAGTCTCATTTAGTACTGAGTACATCGGATGAGTCTCTTAGCATTTTTGTGTTAGAAGGAGATCTGAGAATCCCAGAAATTTTTAATAATTACTGGGATTCAAGAAGACCTACACATGCAAACATCAGATGTAGTATTCCAGTTTTATTAGAACTTCCAAAGTACACAGAAAAAGTACCGTTAGATCCCTAGACCAAATAGCAAAAAGCATAAACTGCCTTAGAAGTCTATGGAAAAGAAAAAAAAAATTCCTTTTGCCTTTCCTTCTGTCTAAAGGTGAAGAAAAATTCAGTGCAAAATAGTTTCCTCTCTGTAGTAGGCATGTTTCTAAAAACTATCAGAACAAGCAGCAGTAGGCTCTTGGAACTGTGTCACATTAATATCAAACCCAGTAGTATATTTTATAGGCTTGTGGCATTTTTTTTCACAGAGGAGTAGCTTGCTTTATTGCTTATAAAGCCATTATGATTCAGGTTACTTACGAGATTAGGCAGTCTGACTTGAAGGAAGGATACAAGACTGCAAAACCTTTAAAAAGCCAAAGTTACACAGTGCTTATGATTTTAATGTTCTTACTACTCCAGAAAAGAAAACTTTACATTTCATTTCTTGAAAATTTCTTTTAAATTCAGTTTAAATTAGATACAGTTCTAATTATATAAATTAAAATGTAAAAAATGGCCCTAGTCTTGTAATTTCTCAAATCACCATTGAGGTTTTTTTAGGCAGACGCATAAAACTTCAGTTGGTGTTGTTGTGTATGAACTATACAGCATTTTTTTTCCCATGGTTTGAAATTAAGTGTGATTTGTATTGCAGCTTCGTCAACTGTCACGAGTAAACCATCCCAATATTGTCAAGTTATATGGAGCCTGTCTAAACCCAGTAAGTTATATCTTTGTCAGTGCAACGAAAGGTAACTAGCTTACCATATGCAAGCATCAACCACAAATGTGTAATCTATATACAAAAAAGTGTGCTTCATATAAATTTAGTATGGTTAAGCCACAATAAGGCTTATTGGTGCAGATATAGATAGAGGTGTATAGGTTGTTTGATATTTTCAGATGTGTTTTCTGTTGTTGCTTTCTTCCTCTGTTAGGAGAAATAAATTTTTTCAGGGTAATCCCCCAAAAAACATTTTTAAACACTGTTTATATTTCAATTTGTCAAAATGGCATCTAGCGTATTACATATGCAGTGTCATTCAGATGTGTAGTCCCATTAATTGCAAATCAGCAAGCAGAAATTATATATATTAGCAACACATTAATCATAGCTTAGAAATCAGATCCTGTTCTCATATATGCACTTTTCAGGATTTGCTGTCTTCTTGCCACAGCTGCAAACAGTCTCACAAATTCTGAAAGCAGAAGAGAAAGTACAGTCACAGGAAAAATACATCCTTAACTAATTCTAATGAGGAATTTACAGTTGGTTAAAACGCTGGATCACTTTTTTCTTGGAACTGATTACATTCTTTTGACATAGTATTTAAAACTATTGAAAGCCATTCTGAGGAAATAGTAAAGGCAAATTAATTGCAGTATGAAGACAGTGTTCGATTTTCAAGATGAGCTAGGAAAGGGAGAAAGTGCATTCCCTTATTTCCTAACGTACAGTGCAAATTAAATGTTAAGTTAAATTGTATTTATATTAAGCCTGACTTACTGTGTACCTCACAGTTAAATGTTTCTATTAGCTTAGGTGTGGAACGTTGCAGATCCTCTCAAAGAACTTTTGGTTTACAAAATCTGTTTTCTGTCCCTCCATTTAAAACATCCACATTTTCTGTCTCCTCTCCTCAAAGGTGTGTCTTGTTATGGAGTATGCTGAAGGAGGTTCTCTATACAATGGTGAGCATCATTTTAATATGTCTTCCTGAAGCTGAAGTGCCAGTGCTAGGAAAAACATCTTAAATATAATGTCACTTCATATATATGTCTTAAACGAATTTTGAAGAGAAAGATGTGTGCTTCTAAAAATTACTTTTAAGCCTATTAATTTGTTTATTGATAACAGCTTGGTAATATTTGTAAAAGTCATTGTAAGGTTTTTCTGTGGAAAACTTCCCCTGAAAAAGCTCTTACTTGCATGTAAATTCCCATTATAGTTGTTTAACACAGACTTTATCTCTTCTTGAAAAAAGTAACTTCTTTCATATTGTTAATCACTGGTTGGCAGAATTCTAATAAAAGTATTAGGAAGAACATACTAAAACTTAGATACCATTTTGACATTTCCATTAATTTAACAATTTGCAAAAGGACACTTTAAGTTGCAGTGATAAGTACGTAGGTTCTGTACAGCTTTCTGACTGGTATGTTGTTAACTCCATTGTATCTGTTGTAATATACAATAAAGTTCTTTTTAGTTTGTGCCTTTGTTTTGCAGTGCTGCATGGTGCTGAACCTCTGCCTCATTATACTGCTGCACATGCGATGAGTTGGTGTTTACAGTGTTCCCAAGGAGTGGCATATCTTCACAGTATGAAACCAAAGGCCCTAATTCACAGAGACCTGAAACCACCAAAGTAGGTTTATTGCACCTATTCCACTTTTTCTTGCACTTTGAATTGAAGATCAATTTTAATAATTTCATTGTATTTGACACAAATACCTTTAATTGATAATACATTTATTGGAGGTACTGTATTTTAAATGAAAACTGTGTGTTCGAAGCTTCAGTTACAGAGCGATGGTGCATGGTACAGGAAACAATCTGTTGTCACTAAATTTCTGTTAAACCAGAAAAACATCTTGCTATTGCCCTTTCTCACAGGAGAGGATTTTCATAAGGATAGGGCTCCTAATCAGAGGCATGTAAAGCATTCCAATTTTACGACGGGTAGTGGTATTTGATAAGAGAATATTGGGTTGGTTGGTTTTAATGTTGTATTTAATTTGATATTGTCATATTTAATCTGATATGATCATCTTATTCTACCTCCTCTTGTCTGTTCCACTACCCATAGCCAAAATTCCTCATCTCTTTCCAGTTAAATAAAAATGAATATCTATTCTGTCCAGGCAGTTTGTTGATCTTACTCATCTTAGAACCATACAACCTTCAGATCTGGTTCCACAGGTTTGCTGGAAACAGAGATTTGCAGGATCACCCACTTTTGGTGGGTGCCAGCACTTCTACCAGATAAAATGACAGTGTGAAGTCACACTTTGAATCTTGAATTCTTTCTTGTATCACCAGTTTTGATTAAGATTTAAATAACTACACTGATTGACATTAATGGGAGTCTTAATCATCGTTCTTTTGGCAAAAATTTTTGCAGCACTTATTTTTCATTCTCTCCCATCTGAAAGACTAAATTTTATCAATATACGCTTAGTGGATTGCTATGCCTGAGAATATTTAAATCTAGCATGGAAGAAATATATATGGTGTAGAAGCATGAATAAATAATGGAATATATTTGATTTTAAAACTATTTTGTATGCTCAGATTAGACACAAATGTTCTTACTTATTTCTTAGATTACAAAACTAAAGCACAGAGAAACAAAGCCCCAGATACTCATTTATGTTAGAATAATTGTTAGGATAAAAAATTCCTTGTTTTATCAGGAGGCTATTTCATACTACAGCTTTGAATTTTTTTTTATTTATTTTGTTTCCTTGACAGTTTGCTCTTGGTAGCTGGGGGGACAGTTTTAAAAATCTGTGATTTTGGTACAGCCTGTGATATTCAAACACACATGACCAACAATAAGGGAAGTGCTGCTTGGATGGCACCTGAAGTTTTTGAAGGTAACAATAATTTATGGTGTTGTTATTGTACATTCTTTTTAGGGATGCAGCTTTGAATGTATTTGTATAGGAAATAAAAGCATCATTTAATTATACTTCTATTTCAATCATCATATTAAATTTTGAGATAGCAATTGAAAGTGTCTTGGCAGAATCCTAACTTTTATTTTAAAACCTGCATGTTTGTATATTACCAAATAATTGTGCAAAGTTTCAAAGAGCAGCACCAAACAGACTGTATCATGTTAGCGTTATACCATTAATTACTGGAAGATGTGGGACCTTTGTGTCATTTCCAAGGTTTCCTTCCTCTAAAGGGATACCTTTAGACAGCTGCTGTTTCTTATTTAAAACCAAATAAAACTAAGTAATAGAGGGCTATTTCACAAGTATTGTGCTATTTCTGAGATTCTTAAGTAATTTCAAATTCTCCTGACATTTAAATATACTGTTATTACTTTCACTCCCAATTTTGATCAGCTTTTATCTTTAGAATTTGCGAGTTAGTGTCACTAAATTGAACATAATTGCCTTCATTTTGAAACCTCCACTTTCTTGTAATTTCACTTTTGTCTGGTTTTCTTTGTCTCTCTTTCTTAGTTTTCTTCATCTTTAGAGGTTTGATGTACTTCCTCTTCCCTGCATTCTGAGAAACTTGTTATTAACAGTTAATTTAGTTAAGTAAGAAAACAAGCTATTTCTCTGAGCAGAGCTGGGAAAGGCTGATGACAGTTGATAATTAGATAGGTATAATTGCTTTATTATTACTAGAGAAATAATGCAGTTGTCATTAGATTGCAAATTAAACACATTTTAGGATTGATTGTGATTAGTAGACAGGTCTGGAGGTGTCATCTTCCTGCTTCAGAAAGCAGGTGTTCTGTTTTGCCATGTCCACAGTTAATATTCTTACGAGGGGTTTCCTCCTGGGCACCACCTTTGGAGCTTTTATTTTGAAGGTACCTCATTCTTCTGCTTGTCACTTTGGGGAATCACCTAAGGATGATTCCCAGTTTTACTCTGGTGCCTAAACATTTTCCATTGTGTCACTTTATATTGGAGCTACTTTGTTTCTTTAACTTCAGCTAGGAGTGCATCCTTTCTTAACTTTTATTTACTATTAAATGAAACTGTGTAAATTAGAGATGTCTTTCTCCTTTAGAAGTTATCCATTGCACTATCAGTGTTAAAGCAAAATTTTTGGTTTTGAGTGAAAAAAATAAAAACTGATTTTTAAATAAGAGCACTGTAGTGGGGATTTACACTGTTTTGCTTAATTTCTCTGCTACATAAATTCAGCAGCACAGAACAAAGAAATATTGTATTGCAAATGTATTGTTAGATGGCAGCAAAAGCTTTCACTTTGCAGTTGGCTTTATGGACCTTTTTCTGAAAGCTTTTAGTGATGATGCCACAAGTCTTTTATGCAAGAATCAGTATAAAGGAAAGATCAAGGGTTTCAATAAGTTCTGTGATGCAATATATCAAATTACTCTTGGGACAGTCATTAAAGTATTAATGTATTAAAAGAGTATTGAAATGGTGTCAAAATTGTTAAACTTATTTGCAACTACTACTGCATCAGAAATTAACAGTGGGATAAGCAGTAATATTATTTTGGTACTGTTTTAGAACTCAGTTTTAGTTGAGAACTAAAAAGGCTTAAGAACTATCTTATAGGTGATATACTTAAAAAGTGATTATTGATGTAATTTTCCTAATATTATTACTTTCTCTGAGTTTTAAGTATTATGGCATTTAGACCCTTGTCTAAATGAAAAAAATATCATTTAGATACAATAAAATGGAAAAGAAGAGATCAGTATAAGCTCTGAGCTCCCATCGTCAAAATTATTTTTTAAATGCTTTGAGATAATTGAATATTGAAAAGTGATGCATCTGCTATCCTACCTAGGTCTGTTAAGTAATGAAACAACAGGATATCCTCCTCATGTTAGATACTGGCTTTGAACTATCACTAGTTTTCAGCTTCAAAATAGAATTTCCTTGCTCAAACAGGAGTGTAACACTACTTTCCCATCACAGCTGTCTGTCTGCCACTGTGTACCATAGAGTCTTCACTCCCTTTGGTACCAAGTATCATTTTTAGACAGCTTTGTCCACTGAAAAGTCACTTCAGATCTTCAGATCTGGCAGAGACAACAGGCCTTAAGGTTGTCGCTTCTTTCCATGCAGGAGTTTTGACAAAAGGGAGAGGGATGCAGTTCTTTAATGCTTTGCTCCACGCAGCAGCATTAAAGCTCTTGTTGGGCTCCTGTCTTGCCATTGTTGGGAGGAAAGTGGAATGCCTAAGATGGGGTGAATGCGTAGCTAGAAATATTGTTGCTGGATAGACTGAAAGATTGTTTTACTTCCCTTTTAATCTGCCATCGTTAACAGCTGCCTTTTGAAGGGAAAGCTGACTTGATTATTCACCTTCAGGATTTTTTTAATTCGTTGGCCACATTCAGTTACTTTGATACAAGTATAAAGGGTTTCACAGATACCAAGTTCTTACAAGCTTTGTAAAATCAATAGATGCAAGAAGTTCAAATGAGTGCCCTTGCTTAGAAAGGATTCCAGTACATGGCTGCATCCTGTTTATTCAGTTTGACTTTCAGACTGTCCAACCTGCAAGAACTGGTCTTAGGGTATGCTGCTTTCCTTGCAGTTTGTCAGAGGTACTGGGGGCCAGAAGAGGATGGTTTATACAAAACGCGGAGCCTGTTGCAACTGGGTGTTATAAGATAAATGTTAACATAAAACTAGGCTTCATTAATTCCTACTTATGAAATGACTCGTCTCAGTAACACTTTCTTATTACATATTAGTTTAAAAAATCTGTTATTTATAGTTATGCTATCATTATCGTGTTATTAATCATTCACATTTCTTTCAGTATTTGCATGAGTTAGGGCAGCAGAACATACAGTCTTCCTTTTGTAGTCTCTGAATGTTATTATTTACCACCTGTATGTCTTCTGCACCTGTAACTTAGACTTAGAAATATTTAACCTGTGACTAGAGAACTTGATTTAAGTAATGGCATGACAAAAAACAATAAGAGAGATAAACAGAGTAGAAATAAGATGGTGATGTTTTGTATTTATGATTCTGCTGAAGACCTGCTATTAATTGAGTGCAAGAGATATGACAGTGATGGCTAACATACTGTGATTGATATGAAAAAAGCGAGCTCAACAAGAATATTTAGATGAAGCAAGGTTAAGTTCTGAATTCAAAAGATCTTTGAAATGTAATAAGCTGCATTTGATATAAAATCAAACTGACTCCGTTTATCATTCCAGGATGACTCCAAGTGAAATGGACTGATTTCCAGAGAGAGGCATTCTTAATGATCATACTATCACATGATTTCAGACTTAAGTTAGCTTGAATCAAACAGCTTTAGAAAACCTTATTTTTTAAAGAAAACAAATATGAGATGAAAGGAAGTATATATAGCAATTTTTCATATGGAACTGTACCTATTAAAAGTGAGTTATAGAAAAGTTGCATAGAAAAGAAATAGTATATTTCCGATTTCTTCTAGGTAGCAATTACAGTGAAAAATGTGATGTTTTCAGTTGGGGTATTATTCTCTGGGAGGTAATCACCCGCAGGAAACCTTTTGATGAGATTGGTGGTCCAGCTTTCCGCATAATGTGGGCAGTTCACAATGGTGAGTTGAAAATGTTTAACTGCATTTGAAGTTGTATATTTCACCTATAAATTTGCTGAACATTCTGAAGCATACATTTTTAAATTAGTTTTTTTGGTTCTGTTCTTCATTTAATAAGGGCTTGTGTCATAAAGAATAAATAATAAGACACTAACACTTCTATGTTAGTGTGGTTTTTGTTTTATTTGACTGCTACATTGTTTGCATTTCCTGCTGCATATAACCACTGTATAAATAAACAAGGGAGAAAAGCTGTACATTTATTACAGCTCTCCATTTTAGAAGATTTGACAGTGGTCTGAGTCATGTACTTTAAAAAAAATAGCCCCTTTATCTTTTAAAAAAATGGGCATTTACACCATGAATGCATAAGTTCGAGTAATTTAACCTACATTTTAAAATGTAAAAACTGTCAAACTCTGCAGGAGCATAGGGCATTAAAAATGTTACTTTGTTTTTTATCTGTTGATTTTTTTTATTGTGCTGTTTAAATTGTTTTATCTAGGGTCCTGCAGACATGGAGCAGGACTTTACTGTGCTAGGTACAACACAGAACAGAGCCATGTCCCAAGCACTTTAGGATAATGAACAAGAAAAATGATTATATTAAAACAGATGAAGCAATGGTACAGTATCAGTCAAAATAATAGACTGTAGTATCTTAATTTTAGTAGTATAACTGCTTTAACAGAGTACTTCCAGTGAATGTCTGCAAAAAGTTTCTACCATTTGTGAAAAGCACCATCAAAGAAAGAATGAACTTGTTTGGGTGATCTAATTAACAAGCAAGCAATGATGGCTGGCACTGTGCCTGAGAATCGTAGTTTCAGTACTGAATGATAGGAGCTCAAGGTGAGAATAGGAATCTTGTTTGATCATGTAAAGATGGCAGGCATTGATAGGATGGATGAGTGTTACAGTCAGTAATACACAAGGAAAGATGTTTGCAAACAGCATTTTTGAGTGAAGAGAGAAGTTCTCCATTTCAGTTTTTCAAGGGTGCAAGTCATTGAGTCAGGACTGATGGGAGACTTAATAAAAGCAATAGCTATAAATGTGAATGTAATAAGTCAGAAGGCCTTGCTAAGTTGCAGAAAAAGCTCATAGGGGAAGAAAAAGTCCACTTTGATTTTTAAAGTGTTTTTTGGTTCACTTCTCTAAACTGTCTTAATTTATGTATTATTTACATAAATTACAATTTAATACATATATATAATACAATTTATGTATTATTTACATAAGTTACAGCGAATACATTTTTAAGTACTCACTGCTTTCTTTGCAAAATGTCTCTACTTCTCATGTGTTAAGCACAACTGGATGTCTATTAACTGTATTTGTTGTTAAAATAATAAAATGAGTAGCAAATGGAACAAAATGAAATGAGGTTATACTACAGTTGAAGTAAAGTACATAATTGAAAATACCTGGAGTCCATGAAAAAGCCATCCAGAATTGATACTTTTAGCGATTAGTAGTCTTTCAGGAAGAACAAAAGCAACTTCAAAAATGCATTTTTGTGTGTGACTTCAACAGTAGATATCAAAGGCTTCTGGCACTTCCCAGCATAGGGCTTTGTTCTTCAGAAAGCTATAACATAATCATTAGCCATTTTAAGTACCATTGTGATACATTGTATTTTGTCAGTCACTCAATTTATGCAAATGACTTCTGAAGGAAAAAATTCATTTTATTTCTTCTTTTTTTTTTTTTTAATGTACCTGTAACTCATTTGTAGTGCAAAGGAACATTGTCAGTCGTTTGCTTAAAAGAGAACATGAAATATGGGCCAGCTTTTTCAGACTACATGTTTTCCTATACCTGTTTAGCAAAATATCAGAAAGAGATCAGTCACTGTCAGTCTTCTTAAAGTTTGCTTAAATTTTCTTCTAATTTCTTCTAATTTCAATTGTAGGTACTCGACCGCCACTGATCAAAAACTTACCTAAACCAATTGAGAGTTTAATGACCCGTTGTTGGTCCAAGGATCCCTCACAACGACCTTCCATGGAGGAAATTGTTAAGATAATGACACACTTGATGCGGGTATTAAATTTATTTTAGTTTCTTAATCATTTCTTTACTTATTTAGTTGAGAAATTGAATTGCAGTAGGTATGCCTTTTATCACACTTTAAAGATAGGCTAATGTGATCCTCTCTCCTCTTTTTATTTGAGAAAAAAATATATATGTATCAAGTTATTGCTGTAAAGAAGGGGAGTAATTTCTTTCTTTTTGGGAGGAGTAGAATGTTTCATTTATAACAAACATGGAGAAATTAATAAAAGGAGTCATATTTTAATGTATTATTTAAAATAATCTGACTTCTTTTTCTAAATAAAGTCTTTTGTATGATATAGAATTTATTATATTTATGAATTATTTTATTTATTTAAAGTACTATTCATACTATTTTAAAGCAATTACTTTTTATTACAATTAAAACACCGCTTTTTTTCACAGTACTTTCCAGGAGCTGATGAACCTCTGCAGTATCCTTGCCAGTATTCAGATGAAGGGCAAAGCAATTCTGCCACTAGTACAGGTACTCTTCTATAAATAAGAGAATACAGAGGAAACATGAAGTGATACACAAGGGTTGTAAAATACAGTTTCATGTTTGTTTTGAACTCAAATTTGAAAAGATAATCTTTCACAAACTTCTGTATTGGCAGGAATCCAATTTTTGTTAAGACCTCATACCACAACATGTTTATTGTTCTTAGACAAATAGTTTTGCTGAATTATGTCTTTAATGAAAAATGGGCATACACATCTCCACAGTTTAAACTTGCAGTAGTTCTATGTTAAACTACAGTAAGTACAATAATTTAAATGAAGCACAAGGAAAACACTAGAAAGGGGAGTAGAACAAAATGTAGGCTAGGCTTTCAGGTAGTGTTTCCCCTACTGAAAAAATTTTACTAATAGCAAATAAAGATTGTTCTGTCCTCTGATTTTACAGACAAGTTTTCCCACTTCAGTAGAAATTGTCTTCACCTTCTGCTATCTGATTTGTTTTTTTCTACTTCCAAATTTATTTTACTTTGAATGACGTTTCTTTCGCTACTTGGCTGCTTAATGACCTGCAAATTATACTAACCTTACAAGGTGTCTCCACTTCTCAGCACATGATTATAAGATAAGACTTATACCTTTCAACTATGAATATATACTGATTTCTATTTTTTCAGGTATTTGTTCTCCTCGGTAATAAACGATGGACCTTATCATTAATTGTGAATTATATTGCCAGTTGTATTGTTAATTTACCAACTAATCCAGCAGTTTCAGAGCAAACTAAAGAATGACTTCAAATGTGATTGTGGTAGTTAGTCGTATATTCCGTCTTCCACCCACTCCTCTTCACATTTTATAAAGAGGAATCTGTTCCAGTTTGGCAGCTTTCCTTTCATTAGAAGTTACCTTAAAGCAAAGTAAAGCTTCTGAGAAGGAGAAGAAATACACTTTAGGGTTTTTAATGAAAATTTGTTTTTCCTTTGAATTTCCAGGTTCATTTATGGACATCACTTCTACAAATACAAGTAACAAAAGCGATGCAAACATGGAACCAAATGACTTCCAAGGAGCTTCTACCAATGACACTATTAAACGTTTAGAATCAAAATTGGCACAGCAAATGAAAAATACGGCCAAGCAGACGGTAAGTAAATGCCTGTAATTTTGAATCATAATAATGAAAAGGATGAAAGGGACAAAAGCGTGTCTGCAACTACTAGAAACATTCGTGTCTTTTCTTTAAAAAATAAAACAAAATTGGTTTCAGTTACTTATAAGAAAGGAGCATGAAAGTGGATGGAAAAGCACCGAATGATTCCAAAAAGATAAATTGGAAGGCTATCAAAAGTTACCTTCAGTGAAATCAAAAAAGAGTTCATTTGATTTAGGGGGATTCAGTAGGTTTAAAAAAATTAAATTCAAATATCATTACCTTAATTTAGAGCTACAAGTTTAGTATAACATGAAAGGATTATACATTTATGTGACTTTTGAAAACACTGTTTTATTTCTAGTGGGATGGAAAAATACAAATATTCTCTTCTGACAGTATTGACCTAATTCTAAACAATTTGAATTAGAGTAAATTTAATTCTTTGCAGGTTACAAGATATTTGGCTCTTAAGTGCCAATAGTAGTTTAAATTTTTACCATTTTAAAAATTTGCCTAATTTTTAAATCTTCTGTAGAAATATATTTTGTTCCACATACTGAGTATATTATAGGGAACTTTCTGCAGATCTGATTCCCTTCTTTTTAAAATTCTAACCCTTGAATCAGGGTGATCCTGGCCGTTTGAGTTTACCACCGTCTCGTGGAAGCAGTGTGGAGAGCTTGTCAGATGTTCGTGGGCGACCTCAGTCAGCCATTGTTTCAGGAGAAGCCAAAAGGATGAGTGCTGACATGTCCGAAATGGAAGCAAGAATACCTTCTACCACAGGTAAAATTATGCTTGTGGGGTAGAGTAAGGAGCTGGTAGGAGGGAAGATTATTTTAAAAAATAAATAAATAAGAGAAGAGAGAAAAAAATGAAGTCTTACGGCAGGTTAATAAAATTAGCCATGTGAAAATGTGAACATGTGAAAATATTTTAACTTTTCATGTAATCTTTCTCATCCTTTATTAGCTGAGGTGGAATATTGTACATTCAGCTGCAAGGCAGGTACTTTAATTAGGTGCTTTTAAGGTCACAGAGAGATTACTTCTGTTCAATTAGACTTTCACCTTTCTAAAATCATGCTGAGACTTCTAAATATCAGTCCTATTCCAGATGCACAAGCTTTATCTTTGTACTTATCTTAATTATCTCTAAAATAGCATTTTATTTGCAGTTATTCCCCTAATATATAAAAGTGGATAGTTGTTTTTAATGGTCAGCATGTTCCCAAATAAGTTTTAAACTCAATTTTGTCATATTTCAGAAACATAAGCATATTTTATTCATCAGACGAACACAGCATAATATCTTTTGTTTAAAAAGTGAACTAGCTTCAGGCGCTTTGCTTCAGGTAGCCATAAACTGTTATGTTTAAATACTGAGTCCGTGAGTGGATTGGAAATTATTCGTAAGCATAAATAACTTTATGGTGAAAACAATCTTCAGTCTTCCCAGAAGATCAATTTAATAAAAATGTTTATACTTGGCAAACACTTTCTTGTCTCTTTTCTTCATCAAAGATATTGTTTGTTGATCTATGCAAACATCAGTTATTAAGTTTGACATCTGAAACTTTTTTTAATGGTATGTAGCTATAGATTTAATTAGCAGACAAAATTACTTTGGTTTGTTCAGGGTTATTTAGTTGATACAGTTATTTCTGCACAAATCTGATAATTAGGGTAACCCAAGAAACTGTAAGAAGTAAGGAAATAAGCATCATATTCTGACTCTTTTCAACCATGACTACTTTATTTTTGTTGTATGATGATTTTTTTAGGATCTTGTTTTGCTAAATACTGAAGATATTTGTGGGATAATATTATCTTGCCCTAAACGCTTTTACTTTTATGTACTTATCTTAAAGCCTTACACCAAAATTTTGTCTTTTGTATCGGCAATCTTTGACTGATCGATTGTGTAGCGCTTCACCCTGAATATTTCTAAAGGCTTCCTAACATGGAAGGCAACTATGTACTTACCTGATAATAATAACTTGTTTTTACTTTAAAACATCAGGACTCACTGACCCTCTAAAGTCAATGTAAGGTTTTGACATTAGTGGAGATAACTGTGGACTTCCTTTGTGCGAGTTTTTAATTTTCCTGGTTTGTCTTCCATAAGTACACTGTTTTGAATAGTAATTGTTATTTCAGCATATTGTAAGGATTTTTTGTTTGTTTATTATGACTGGAGGGTTTCTTTTTATTGACGCAAAAGAATATGTTGAATATTCTGGAGTTTTGTGTTTTGGTTTGGTTTGCTGTTTTTTGTTTTGTGGGTTGTTGGGGTTTTTTGTTTGGTTGTTTTGTTTTTTTTTAGTTATTTCAGGAATTAACTGACCACTAGAAATCAGGTCAAACCCATCTGGCCATACGTTTTTCAATAAGAGCTGAAACAACACTGTGTTGTTTTTGCTTTGTTTTTTAATGCTGTTGAATTTGTGACAGAAATAATATGCTGTACACTGAAATAGAATTGTGGCTGGATGAGAATCAGGCTGTTAGCATAAATAAAGTCAAGAATATTTAATCTTCTTGTTCCGCCTACTGCTAGATTTAAGTGTTAAGTGTAAATTGCATCATACACGCCACCATTTCACATTAAGATAAATTTGCTGCAGTGTTCTATCTTTGGGAGCTGTATTTGGGCTTTTCTCTAAATGGAAACTATTTTTTTTCTCTAAATGGGTAACTACACAAGTGGCAAAATAAAAAAGTTTTTAAAAGTTTTTATTGCAAAATATATAATGCTTCTTGAATATCCTTCAGGATGAAGACATTAGTGGTGACAGCCACTTTTTAAAACAAGAAACATCTTCCCTAGTAGGGCAAAATGACGGAAAGCAGGAACAATTGTCTAATGTAGTAAGAGTAAGCACTTTTCAGGGACAGATTACCTTTGCTTTAACAGGAGATGATTCAAAGAAAAAAGTATCCAACTTTTAATCTTGTTCATAAAATAGTTTGTGCCCAGCACTAAAGAGGAAGTGTTATATAAGTTCAGGCAATCAAGAATTTACTCTGAATATACAGGTGATCTGAAGCGATTTATTTTATTCTCTGTTTGGATAATTACATTTGGTTTTCCCTTCTTTGTTGCCGTGCTGCTTTCTGTGTTTGACTTTTGTGTTGCTAACTAAAACTAATTACAGTGTTGTATTGACGGCTAGTTCTGCATTTTTGCTTTTTAACAGTTGCTTTACTATGTGTAAGCATGAGTGAAAGGCAATGCAGTTTATTCTGCATGAAATATTTTTGCATGAACTACAGTTTAACAAATTTTATGAAAAATGCAATATGACAAATTTAATAATTTTGCTATTGCCTTTTTAGTGTTTTGCATGTGTATTGTATGTGTGTATTTTTTCAGCCTATTCCAAGCCTAAACGAGGCCATCGTAAAACTGCTTCATTTGGCAACATTCTGGATGTCCCTGAGATCATCATACCAGGTATCGCAGACCATGTGAACGGGTCAATTGGTTAAGATGCTGGAATAATGATCAGACTGCTAAAAAATACTTCTTGCTCCAGCTGCGCTAGAACAGACCTAGAAATGTCCCAATGCATTTTTTTTAAGTGTTTCAGTAAAAAGGAGCATGATGTTTCAGTACTAACTTTTATCAGTAAAGGATGTGATCTTCTTGGTCTAACTTACTTTTAGTAATTACGGGCTATTTCCTTTTATGATCTTGGTGTTAGATTCTCATTATAGGGCAGGCATTATTTTATTACAGTACTTCATTTGGCAAAAATGAACCTCAGTTGAAAAATTCCCATTTAGATAATTACAGTGCCCTGATCTGTGCAGTGTTTAAGCACCCATTTCTAATCTAATCAAATATTAGTAGAACAAAAGACTTAAATACACTATGTACAGAACTTCAAATCTGTGTAATGCTTGTGATTAAACAAGATTAAAGCTTAATCTGTAGTTTTTATATTTTACTACAGTTTTCTAGATCTAAAATGTATTTGTGTTAGTATTTCTGTTGTGTTTAACTTAAGACAAACTAAAATTATTAGGACAGGCTTCTGACAGGAAGAGAATCAGCATATTCAGCACCTTATCAGCTATTTTCTGTTGAGACTCATCTATTTCATATTTATATTCAGTAGGAAATAATATATTTTTCTTTACCATCTTCCCTCCTATTTCCTTTCATACTTCTCAAAGACTAAAAGTAAATTTAATCAATCCCAAACTGTGATAGGTATACCATGATTAGTTTACCAATCACCTCAAAATTATTTGTTAGGAGATGCAAGTAATAGTATATTTTGCTAATCAAAAGATCCATTAAAAACTCTGGACCTCGACTTGAAATATGTGTCATTTGAGGAAGCTTCCTTGTAGATCTTGAGGATTGTTGTATTTTAAAGTTGAAAACAGAAGATACAGTTCTGTTCAAAAACTTTAAATACCTTTATTGAAGTGTACTTACAAAAATACAGTATGTCAAAATGTAGCTTCCAGAGGAAAATTGCACAGTTGATGAAAATAAAACCTATTTGGCACAGAGACTAGCAGATCAGACAGAATATTTACTGATATTCCACTGTAGTTTTCAAACACTCCTGGCCTTCTGTGATGCAAAGGAAATCTTGAAAGAGCAAGGAAAGAGGAAGTGAAGCTACATTCTGAAAAGATCTGCCAAGTTTTACGATGTCAACAAGTGATGGAAGCCCAACAAGTTTGCTCTAAAAGTTAACTAGGCACCTGTTGTCTGCACGTACTGTCTGTCTGCTTCAAAAAAAAACTTTGAATCTTTTAGAGAAGAATAATTAAAAGGTCAGTGAAATAATATATCATGTGGCTTTCCCAAAGTAGATTGTGCCAAACACATTGGATACCTTTTTGAGGTTTTGCTTACTTAGGCAAAGGAAGTCAGTTAGATACCCTTCACCTGAACTATTTTAATTGAACTTGACAAGACTGGAATTCTAAGGTAAATTTGGGACAAATAAAAGAGAAATAGCAACCTGTAGAAATGAAATATAGGACTTCATTTCAAATGAAATATAGGTTTGAAGCAGGCATAGGAATAAATTTTCTCAGAGTTTACTCTTAAGCCATTTTTTAAGCCTCAAGTGAGTGATGAAGTGTTATCAGGTGTGACAATATAAAGATGGATTCAAGTATCACATAGGATGAATTGTGGTGTGATGGAGGGTGATTGGTGGATAAGAAATAGAGTAAAATTTAACATCATACACTGAGGAACCAGTAGTAACAATTTCTTTTAATTATGAAGAGAACTCATTAGTGGACTGCAAGGCACCATAGCAGATAGATAAAGATTAATCCTAGGCAGTCTAAGCAGCTAATCTGAAGTAGTTGTTAAAATACATACATATATATATATATGTCTATATAATATGTCTATTTATAAGTGATAGATAGATACCAGTCTTTAGGGTTTATTTTGAAAAGAATATTTCCAGGATAGATTAGAAAAAAACTAAAAAAAAAAAAGCTAATTTACAGGCGATTGTTGAGGTTTGATCAGGAAATCAACATAGTATTCTGGGCAGCCAAAGAAGTATGTTGAGCTAATCATAAGTACACTCTGAAATAGTAACAAGAAAAGCTACTAGAATGGTATGCAGAGTGTGAAGAAGAAAGTGGAAGAGCATGGTTTTTTTAGTTCTCAGAGTGAAAGCTGAGAAATGAGTAATTATTTTCTGTAGATGAATTTGCAGCTAAAAGCTAGGAAAAGAGAATTGCTCAAGCTAAAAGGCGCAGTACCGGCACTAAGGCAAAGGGTGTAACTATGCAGATGTCTGGGCTGCATAATAAAAGGTTTCAAATAGTCAGAACACCTTCCTGGTAAGAATCACGGTGCCAGGAAAAAAGAATATGTACCCAGCTCTATTAAAATAGAGCTTAATCATTACGTGACAGAGATGGAACCAGCTGCCCAGTAAACTAACTATATTTATCTGTATCCTTAAAGCAGTTTCTCAAAAGCATCTTGCTCTGTTTTTAGGACAGCATAATGTGCCCTCACATTATGTTTCTCACCACATTCCTTTCCTTACTCCTTCAGTACATGGCTTTCAATCCTATCCTCTTAACACTTTTCCCCTTCCAGTTACACGTCCTAGCTCCCCAGAGTGGCACCGCTGTCTAAATCCCACCCTGGTACGTTCCTCAGCACTTCTGCACATACCCAGCTCCTCCAGCCTTCCCTGGGCACGTCCATCCGTGGTGGGAAGAGAGCACTGACATTGTCCACACTGCTGCTGGCCTGCTGCTGAGTACATGGCAAAGCAGCTGCTTCCCGCAGAGGGGAGGGCACTGGGCAGGCATGTTACCGTGAGTCAGCTGCTTTGGGGCAGGGCTATATTAGAAGCATGAGTACTACATCTGCCACTATTGGGTTGTTTGTTTTTTTTATAATGGGTTCTGCCTTGGTCACTTTTTATCCATGAACTGATTGTGATAGTGAAGTCATAAAGTTTATTTTTTCATCGGTTGATGATTACATGTTTGAAGAAGTGGAATTTGCTCTTCTTCCTAAATGTTTTCCAATAGGTGTAAATAAACTTACTTTCATTTAAGGTGCTATTTTGTTATTAGTTTACAAAAATAAAAACTGAAAATAATACATCAGCAAGTTCCATTGGCAAATGGATTTTCAGAGGTGATAAACCACAACCAGATAGCCATGTGGAGTATCCCTTTCTTTCACTTGATATGCAGTATAATATGGATAATAGGCACCAACATCTCCATGTAGGTGTTTTTTTTCTTATTTATATATGAGAAATAAAATTCCTTACAAGTACGAAAAGCTTAAATAGCCGTATGTTTAAAGGAAAAAGTAAAATCCAGTTATAGTTTGTCATATGATTAAGGAGAATAACCCAGACACCTTCTGTATACTAACCAGTTAAGAGGCATCTGACAAAATATACATTGAAGTGCAGCCTTTTCTTCTCTGGCAATGTTAAACAGCTTATGCATATAGCATGCGTGCACTTGGCTTTCTAATTTTGTCATGCAAAACTCTGTGCCACAGCATTCAAGTAATTTTATAACATTGGCACTGCATAAACTGCATTACTCAGGATAGACACGTTTTGTTAAGTATCTTTAGAAAATGTACGAGAATCATAGATGGTTTAGCTGGTAATTTTTCCATCTAACTTTTAAAACCAGTATAGGCCAGAAATCCTACTTTTGTCTCTTCAAATCAGTTCATGATTCTGGGTTCCAGATGAATGGCTTAAATTCCTGACCATGTCTTCTAAAATTAGTAAATTTACTAATTGCCTTGTACCATAAGGGACATTTGATTCTTTGTGTGTAAGGAAAGCACTCAAAAGTACTGTACATGAATAAGGATGGGAGGACATGATAATGGAGGAACGAAGAGGTAAACTCCCTACCACAAAATCAGAGAGTGCTCAAGTGAGTTTGAAAGCAGGAACAGGAGACCTGGAAGAAGAGTAAGAGTGAGTTTGCACTTGGCTGGAAGGATACAAACAAAATACTTTTGCCTTAATGAGAGGAAAACAAGCAGCTTGTTTAAGTGTAAAAGGAGACAGCAAGCATCTGCTATAGGGAAGGGAGAGGACTGCATGGCTGCTCTGAATTTTTGAGGGTTGTTCAAAAGCCTTAACAGGAAGCTGTGTCATTTGCTTCACTGCAGTATGTGGAGTGGCACATACCAGAAGTTTTCCGTACTTCATTTTAGGAAATAATGGTGTGTACATTTTTTTTCTTTTTCTTTTTTTTTCTTTTAGGGCAAGAAGTATATTTAGGATATTTGTGGGGGGAGATTAATAAGAAATACTGGAGCAGGTTGGAGGGAGGAGTAGATTGAGGAAGGAGAATACAAGGGATGAAGTGAGTATGAGACAAGAATGAGAATAACATAGAGAGAAGGAGGGAAGAGCTGGAGGAAGAAATAGAAAAACATAAATGAAACAAAGGAAATGAGTGGAAGAGAATTGTATACCTTACCAATGCAAATACTTCATGAACAAATTTTACATTCCTATTTATACGAAATGCTTTGCAGCATCAAACTCATTTGAGACTAATGATTGCTTCAGTTTTTCTCTCCGGTATTTCAGCAATTAATGTTACTTTCCTCTGAGCAAGTTTTTGCTCTTTCCTCTTCTCTCCTTAGTTTTTTTGCTTTCATTTTGCCCTTTTAATTTGTATATTCATATGTTATTAAACAGCACAGAACTTGAATATTTCAGTAAATGTAGCTCTCTCATATGCAAGCTCTGTATATTAAGAAACCTTGAAAGCATGAGTCCCCAGATAGTGTATGGAATTTCTACAACTATATTACAGTAATTGCTTGAAATGGCATATGATTTTGTGGGTCTATTTCCCTTTTAGTACATTAAATTAAATAAAAGTCTTTCATCATTCCACGTAGTGATCAGGCACTCAGAGCTTTTTTCACTAAAACTCTCAAAACAGATATGTACTTGGATGCTCATTAATTTCTAATCTTAAAGTCCTGTAAATTGTTAAAATCCTGACATAGGACACCAAGCTACTGTAGACTAACTTCTGCACATTTACAACATGATTAGTTGTATGGGGAGGAAAAATTAGGAGTTTTAAATGAGTGTAGAGGTGAAACATGTTAAGGAAGGAAAGGAAAGAAGATCTAAAGACATAGCTGTGAAGATTTCGAATAAAAATGTTGTGTTGTATTTTTTCAATTGAAACTTGTCTTGAATCTGGAGCAATAAGTATTTGTTGATTTGTAGTCTATTTCTGCTTTGTCTAAGCTATTTGCCAGATGTCTGCAGCAGTTACACTAATTAAAATGGCATTGCCCAGTAGAGCTTGCTCTTCTCTCATGCTACTAACTCAAAGATATTTTTCATTTAAAGATGTTCATTTATTACAACATGGTAGTTTTGGCCCCTCCTTCCACCCTCCTTCAAAGCATTTTCTTTTCTTGCACCCCACCCTGATTATTTTAACTTTTTTGGCAGCCATGTTCTAATGTTTCAGCAACACATGTGCCAGGTTCTTTAAATTCACAAATGTTGCTAATCTGAAATGAGAATTTCAGATATTTTTGCAAGCTTATTTCAGCTGGGCTAATTTTAGAACAGTGTTGTTGAATGAAACGTGCACATAATTTTGTGTCAGTCATGGGTGGATCATCTGTATCTTGAATATTGAGATTAGCTGTGACAGCCAGATGAAGTATCTAGCATACATAATTCTATTAAATGTATAATTGTGGTTGTAAATGGCCATTTAGTGAAAAAATTCACTGTGAATGAATAAGATCAAAAATTTGATATAGATTCATCATTCACTCAATCTGCAGTATCTTAGAAATATATTAAACAATATAGTCGTGATGCTTAGGTAAGTATATACTTCCTCTGAATTTCAGAAGCAAAAGATCAAGACCTCAAAAAAGCTGTGAATTAAATTCTTTTGTAGTCACAGCAAAGACTACAAGACTTTTCAAAGACTTCTCATTCTGAAACTCCTGATTTTCTGATGTGCTTCTTTCTCATAGAACTTCTTAGAAATTTTAGAACATAGAATGTCATGTCAGATTGGTAAGGTGACACTAAGAGTTCTCTGTGGCTGCTCTGTGTTAATGTATTCTTACATGCAATAGTCACTATTTAAGAATTTAAATTGGGATTCCATTAAATGTATTGATCAATATTGCATAGATAGTCTTATATTTTTGTAGTAACAGTTATGAATCAAAATTTGCTCATCAAGATAGGCAGGGAAGTAGTACTGAAATGGTGCTGAATAAATATCTAAAAGGTTAAAAAAAATTAGATGCCTGTTAAAGGGCTTAGAGTTGGGCTGGCTGCTGAGTTCATGGTTGATGGGTTAGGGGCTGCCACTGCTGTAGTACATGTTTGAGATGCTACCCTTGAGTAGAAGAGTTACGTAATGCAGATCAAGAATTTTGAGCATTGTCAGCTGTTACTCAGAACGTTTTGGTGTTTCCTTTTGGACAGCTGACCTGCTCTCAAGAGACAATATAAACAATCGCAGCAATAAAAATCAAAGTAGTCGGGGAGATTCTGTTGCATAATCTCCAATCCTTTTGAAGAGACTTTGTTTCCCAGTAATGTCTTTGAGTGTCACTGTTAGAATTTAAACTGTTTTATGTAGCTGTCACAAGTGGATAATTGCTAACAGGTGGAAGGAGAAAAGGAAAAGATTACCGCACTATGTTCAGTAGGTTATTAGCAAGATGTGGTTTATCTGAACGGTCCCCTTTTCACAGTTCTTAGAGCATGAGAATGGGACACATTTTCCTTCATCTGAAGGTGAAAAAGTGCTTTCACTTTGACCAGAAGGAAGTACTCTCACTTATTGGTTTTGGTGAGGGAAACGAAACACAGACAGAAGTCCTTGCTATGTTACTTGAGCATACCAAAGAGCAACAGGTTAAAGCTGGCAGCATGTTATCTTTGCAGTCTAGCTTTTAGAAATCCCCATAACGTAACGCACTTGAAATAGATGTCGTCATCAGCTCCTGCCCCGAGTCCTAAGCCTGTTTAAATACATGTGTCAGAAGATGGTGGAGTGGAGGGCAGCAGCTATTCATGTGGTAGGAGTGGTTGTTGTATTAGGGGATACTTTTTGTTGACAGGCCAGCATGTTTTGAGTTAAAATTCTGCAGCTGTCTCTCTCTCCCCCTCTCTCCCTTTCTCTCTGTGGATTTGTACAAATTCCAAGCTCCTCTGCAACAGTCTCACCCTTCTTATTTTGTTCGGAATAGATTTCACTGTTTTCTTTTTGTTTTGTTTTGTTTTGCTTTTTTCCCAGCAGGAAACGGACAGCAGAGGCGCAGATCCATTCAAGATCTTACTGTTGCTGGAACAGAGTCCAGTCAGGTAAGCTCTTTCTCATCCCTTCATTATGTTTCAATAAAGTCAGTGTGTATGTGTATAGGGAAACTGATCTGCAAATCTTCACTTTTGATACTTATGTACAAATGATACGGAGGCTCGACAGAATGCAATGTCATTTGCATTGTGTTTAAATTAGATACCATGAGGATACTCTGTGAATGAGCTCTAGATGATAAGTGATTTCTCTATAGCTTATCTAATATTTATCATTTTTATGTACAAACAGTTTGTGTGTACCACTTCATTTGGCTCAGATGTTATGTCAGAAAGACTTTTCACCTCATTCTGTATAGGAAACAATTGAAATAACTACTTATAATTGTCTGAAGCAGTTAGACACACATTAGACTCACATATTGCATAAAATAAAAAAAAAAATCAATGTTATGTGTATTTATTTATTAATGAATCTCTATACTCTAAACATATCTCACAGTACTATCTCTCATTTCTTGTGAGAGTTTTACAACAAGGAGCTATCACAAGGATATTTTACAAAATAAGTACAGCTATTGCATTAAGATGCTTTTTAATTTAATAGCTTTGTAGATGGTATTATAAATGCCATGGTAACAGACACTGTTATGCTATATAAAGCTGAAATTAAACTAAGAACATCTTAAATGAGAAAAGTACAGCTAATGCTTCATTCAAATGTCTTTATTTTGTGTTTTAATTATTACCAGGCCTGTTGAAGTGATTCAGAGAGGGCATTTTATCACTAGTGTGAATTAGGAATTTTTAGGTACCTATTATTATTTGTATGTTTGGAAATTGAGATCTTAACATGTTTGTCAGGTTAATCAAGTTTCCATAAAAAACAACCTACAGCAATAATCTAAAATAGGTGGTAATTTTAGGGGTGTGTGGTTATCAGGGAGATCAACATTTAATCCTTCTTTAATTCTGTAGAATGTGATAGTCACAGAAATCTCATGAATCCCCTGGATATTATTAGTAGAATTTGCTACATACAACTATCAGAGAATAATGAAATAACTCTTAAGTATACTTTAATATCTTCAAAGAAGGCAGAAAGAAATGAATCTGCAAAATATAGCAAACGAACAGATTAGCCTATTTGGTTAACAGTAGAACAGAAATTATGCCAGACTGGTGTGGGTCTGTAGAAGTACTAGAATCACATTTTACCCTTTTTCTTTCTTATAGTATACATACTGGAAATGTAAGTGGCAGTATTAAAATTACCTGCTTTTTTTTTTGTCTTGCAGTTTTGGGAAATGTAATAATAAGAATGTTCTTTGGAAGAAGTTTATGTACTGTCCATATAAATAAATCATGAATTTTCTCCCTTTTTTTGGGCATGGGCGAGAAAAATAATGGAAAAGATAGCTGAAACTAGTGCTAACTTTTGACATATATATGTATGTACTTATTTTAAAAAAACAGTAAATTAAGAAAGCAAACACAACATAATACTTAAGGTTGTTCTATATAGGTTTCTATAAGCTCTGGATTTTGCTATCTGAATGTGTATTTAAAATCTTGAACTGCTATCTATTTAAGGAATCTACCAGCCAAAGCAGAAAAAACATCTGTAACTAGTGTAGTTCTGGTCAGTTTATAGCATCTCCCTACATGCACCGTACTCTATATGGGTTATCTTCTCTAATTTGAAAGTCCCCTTCCCCCTCCCTCTCTTCATTGCAAACATCCTTCTTTCCTGCATACCATTCTCTCTTAAACCCACCCTTTTGCATTGGCTTCTTTATTGAACTGCCATAGCACTGTGTGCTTCCTCTCCCATACCCAGTCCTTTTAAGCTCCTACCCCACTCAAAATTATGCTGTACTTTTAGTTCGTTTGTTTTTTTTTTTTTTTCTTATTTAAAACCATTTGACTGAATAGTAAAGCTGATCAGAAATCATAATAAACATGTTTTTTTCTGGAAATCGCCAACATGCAAATATAAATTTATACTGCAGTATTTTGGAGTTTGTTTTTCTCAAGGTTTTTCCTACTCGGAATGGATTTTTCTGTTGAGGTGGAGCAAAACATGGGACAAGTATGCCAAAGTTTGCGGTACTTACCTGACAAGGGTAGACCAAGGCTTAGGACTCCCTGCTTAGCTTTGGTTGTTTTAATCTGAAATTGATGTATGTGTTGTGATTTCTTGTGTATTGCATGGGTCTTTGAGTGGTTTTGATTATGATTATTAATTTATTTTTTTTTAATGGTCTTCAGAGTCTTAAGGCATTTTCCACTAATGCCTGAGTACTGGTACTATCAAAACATCAGACAGTAATAGTGCTTTACTGCTCAGTTGACCTTTTTACACTGAGAGCTTAGATAGGAAAATGTGCTACAACTAAGGTTCTCAATCACTGAGCCAGCCATTGGAGGGGCTTGCTGATGAGAACCCATGCATTAAGTCACAGGACTTGGTGAAAAGTCGTATGTTCTAGTGCTTGGTGACCTTAGACTGGACAAGTTACATGAGCAGCACTGATGTAACCTTTTTCCTGCAGTTATAGTCTGCAATCTCATCTGTTTCCATCCATTTATCGCGATGGCCTACTCATTTTTCCATGCAATTTTTTTTTCACTGAGCTGATCATTTTAAGACCTCATTGAACTGTGATGTCTGTGGCTGTCCATTAACTACTGTTCTTTCCTAAGCTTTGTAACACAGAAATAGATGTGCACTGAACTGCAGCCACAATAAAACTTAGAAAGGCTTGATGGAGCACAAAAATCCTGCTGCTTAAACTGGATAGTCTCCTTGGAAAAAATTGGTAATTTGTACAAATAGATTTGGAACACATTTGGTGTAATTGTTAAAGAACTGCAGATTGCAATTAGATAGACAGTGGGGTACCCGTGCCCCCACCTATGTTTTTATTGGGTAGATCATTCTATACAGTGCCATGATGATATCAGAAATACTTCTTAAACTTCTTTTTTTTTTTAACAGTTCTTGCTGAGTCTTAGTATTTCTCAGTTTACTTTGAGGTGGGAAAAAAAAATAATGCATGTATGGTATTGAACAGTTGAGAAGTAAGGATTGAGCGTGCAGACCCACACGTGCACAAGTCAAGTATGAGAATCTGTGGGAGCTGATACTGTACAGATGAATCATTCTGTCCATGAGACTGTGCAATTGGTCACAGATGCACATTTTTATTTTCTCCTATTTTGTAGGGTGATAAAATCCACAGGAGATGAGGAGAAAGGGCCAGTGCCACTGACTTCTTTAAGTCTGGTTTCCTGCTTAAATTAAACTTGAAAAAAACTGTGCAGTTCCTAGAGGGAGAATTATACCTCAGAGCAAGCGAGGTTATCAAGACTGTAAAACTTTGAGAAACTGAGAAACTAAAAAACTAGTGTGACTGTAGCCACCTGACAAAGATACAATCATAGAATCTCACGTTGGAAGGGACCCTCAATGGTCACTGAGTCCAACTTCCGACTCCTCACAGCACCACTCAAAACTCAAACCCTATATCTGAGAGCATTGTCCAAACATTTTTTGAGCTCTGGCAGCTTGGGGCCCTGATCACTGCCCTGCGCAGCCTTTTCCAAGGCCTGACCACGATCTGATGAAGAACCTTTTCCTGGTATCAACTTGACACACTGACACAACTCCATGCCGTTCCCTCAGGCCCTGTTGCTGTCATCAGAGAGCAGAGCACAACAATACCCCTCCAGTCGCTGTGAGGATCTGCAAACCACCCTCAGCCTACTCTGCTCTGGGCTGAACAAACTAGGGGACTTCACCTGCTCCTCATATGTCTTCTCCTATAGGTCCTTCACCACCTTTGTAGCACTCCTTAGGACACTTTCTAATAATTTTGTGTCTTTTTTGTACTGTGGCACCCAAAGCTGCACATAGTGCTCAAGGTGAGGCTGCACCAGTGCAGTGTAGAGTGGGGCAATCATGCAATCAAAGAATGGTGTGAGTTGGAAGAGACCTTAAGATCATCTAGTTCCAACCCTACTGCTATAGGCAGTGACACTTCCCTTGAGACCAGGTTGCTCACAGCCCCTTTCAGCTTGGCCTTGAATGAGAGTGGGGGCATTCACAGCCTCTCCAGGCAACCTGTTCCAGTGTCTCACCACCCTCACAGTAGAGAATTTCTCCCTAATATCTAGTCTAAATCTACCCTCTTTTTCAGTTTAAAGCCATTCCCCTCGTCCTGTTGCTACATGCCATTATGAAAAGTCCCTCTCCAACTTTCCTGTAGGTCCCCCTTCAGGATGCCCTTCCCTCAACTAGCTAGCAATGCCATGCTAGCTGCATCCCAAGATATGTTGGCTTAGTATAAGGGTAACCCTCCAAAAAGTCTGGCATACTTGGCATACTGTGATGTCTGGAGGAGGCAAGGATGAAAGGAGATCCATGAAGGAGTAACAGGAACTATCTGCTGAAAAACAGCCATTGGCTTACCTTTAGAGAGGCTGGTGTCAAGGAAGGTAGCTGCAGTCTAGTGTTATGCCAGGAAAGCTGAAGCATCTTACTCAGCACACTCAAACACTGTAATCTAACGTGTTCAGATTTGGGAACTTCTCGTGGGTTTTTGTGATGCTTTTTAAATACATTTCAGATAAAAATCCTTTACTCCTATCTCTAGTATCTCACAGATCTAAACAATCTGGTACAGCACACAGTGCAGCATAGCATAGCTTGTAATTTAGCTTGCTAGTGTACTTTTCAGGTCCCCTTTGCTAAATCTAAATACTCAACACATTTCACTTACACTTCACTATAAAAGATTGTTCTATCTTCTTGTGCGTGTTTATCATTCATATCTGAGCACATTACCAGTAGACACCAGGCTTTCTAATGTCAGCAAATACTTCAACAGAAAAGCTTTTTCAAAATTTCTAATGCAGTCATCCTGATAGTATCATCCCATTGGATTATTTCTACAATAGTTTCTGGCTACTAACATAAAACATTAAATGGTTAATAACAATGAAACCACTCTTCATGTTGCTTATCATGTGTCTGTCAAAGGAGGAATGCACAGCTAATGGATAAATTTCCATCCCCGTTTGCCAATTCCTTAGTTTTTAATTGAGTTTCACATCATGCTATGAATTTATTTCCCTTGATATGATATGGCAGAAAACAATCAGATACGAGTTTCCTCAGCATCTGAAGACTGAAATAATTTGAAGAAAATTAGGTAGCTTAAGCAAATTAAGGGCATTACAAATAATTTCATTTTTTTTAACAACTATTTCTACTGAAGCTGCATACCTTGCAAACATTTTTCCATTGCATAAGCAAGCAAAACCAAAGTGTTCAGGGTTGGCACAGGGACAGCGTTAACTGCTGCAATATAAGTTTTGCATTTGAAACAATTTTTAAAGCTCTGAGAAGGTAATAATTGAGCCGTGTTTCTGACTTCCCTGTTTTACCCAGTGGACTTAAATTATTGTTCTTTTAAAGATGTTTCATTTTAGAAAGTATGGGCATTTACTGTTACAGGTCTCATGTGTGCTGTTTAATAGCATGTTTTGCTAGGCTCTTAAACTGGAGCAATTACCAGAGAAACATAGTGTAAGGCAGTTGAAATAATGGGTATTTCACTGTAGAATCTTGCTACTCTTTGGAGTGTAGCTTGACTGACTGAAATCCTGGCTTTTAAAAATTAATTTAAGATATGATACTAGGAAATTGGAGTCATGAAGAACTGCAGCTTCCAGGTAATGTGCATTTCAGTGCTCCTTTTGAAATACAGGGACAGCTAGTGAATCATTTTGTTAACAGTGCGCTGTATTGAAAATAATTATCTTTTAATAGCATTTTTTCATTTGACAGAAGCGTTTTCCTGCAAAAGATGGTGGGGTCTGTACTTTTAAGTACTACACTGTGTTTATTTTGTGTCAGTGAGAAGATATATGAAATACAATAGTATGTATTGTAAATTGGAATTCTGAAAGAGAAGCTAGGTAGAGTAATGATATCAGTGTTAGTTTCTGTGCTTTGGTAAACAGAAGGTTTTAAATAGTCAAGCTTTCTATTAATACAGAATTTTGCTTTGGTTTTTAATTTGCTTTGAAAGAGAGAATTTCCTCAATTTCTAATTTAGTTTAATCAATTGTTTAAATGGATTGCTTTGATTAAACACTTTTTCATGCTTTCTGAGGATTAAGTTCTAAGTTAACACAGGAATCACAATAAAAACTGTACATTAATACTTTGCAGTGAAGTGCAATTACTGAAGTTCATTCCTTTATTTGAACGTAGTTGATGCTTAATCAATGAATGCAGAAATAAAACTTTATTCTTTCTTTATTTTATAGAGCTGATGGAATTCACCAAACAGCGTTGTGAAAACTAGTCTGTGTAGTATAGTGCTTTTATATAAAGATTTTTAGTGCATTGTTCAACAGTCCTTTTTGCTATGCTGAATAGCAAAATTGCATCCTTTTCTTTTTGTGTGGTAAAGATAAAGAAGAAATTATGATGAAATCCATGCAATACATGTAAAGTATATGAAGCTATCTGGAAAGCTTTCAGGGTAAAAGATTTGCAAGAGGTCAGGAGGAATATGTATTAAGGTTTCTTCACATTGATTTTTTATTTTAATACCATTTTGTAAAATAAATGTTTTGAAAAATCGTCTTTTGACTTTCCTTGTCACTTTGTTTTATCATTTCAGGAGAGTAGAAACAGCAGTAGATCATCTAGTCCTAGTGTGAGAATGATCACTACCTCGGGACCAACCTCTGAAAAGCCAACCCGTAATCCATGGACACCTGATGATGCAGGTAGTTCATTAGTGAAACGTTTTAGAAGAGAAACAATTGATTATGGCATAGGGTATGTGCCTATGTATAGAATTAGGCAGTGAAAGTGACAGTCCATTTTAATGTTGCATAGGTTAAATCATTTTATTGTTGCTTTGTTTCGGACATTAGATATGAAAACTTTTTATAAAGATATTGTTAAATTACGTAAGCTTGTAGGAATTATGCTTGTTACAAAGTATTGTACATATGCAGCAATGTGACTATTTAACAAAGATCTTTGAGCACCAGTTTTGGTTATAATGTGTTATTGTGGAGTGAGGGGAATGGACATCTTGCAGCATTTTAGTGTTGTGCATTTGTATTATGAATGCACAGATAAAGCTTTCATTGCTCTGACTTCTGGAAACTACTTAGGTGAGTACCAGCTGGAATACATTAATTTTATATTTTTTTTAATCTATGTGTTGAAATTTTGCTCATGCACAATGTGCACATAAAATGTACTGTTCTTAAATGAACTGATCTAAGTAATGTACTGTAGCATCACTGTTCTTTTGTTATGAAAGGTGATTAAGACTATACAAAATAGCTGAATTTGATCTTAAAGATAATAATGCATGCCATCACAAAAAGAACCAATATTAGACTACGTGGAAATGATGGATCCCCACAAATTCCTTTCTAGGATACAAATAAGATTTACATTTTCATTACTGGACCATACCTGTTGAATCTTAGGCTTAAAGTCAAGACGATTCTATGATTCTTGATTCTGTGATTTCATAGTGCTTTAAATTCTGAAGCCTTTCACTTGTGATCTGTTTCATCTTTGGCTGATCAGATTCTGTCATTCTTTTCCTGTAACCAACTGCAAAATGGAAATTCACACATGGACTGATTTTGTGCCAGCATACATATATATGCGTACTCGTATTTTACCAAATATAAGGTGATTCTGAATGTAAGATCTGTACTTCTTTCCCCCGTTTTAGTAGGAGGAGAGTAGCATACTCTTGTACTTTGCCTCTTTGCTTTCTTCTTTCTGTCCATTATCACTTTGCCTAATCACACACTATGCCTAGTAGCATATAATTCCCAAAGCCCTTGCTTTCCACCATAGCCCACCCTGTGCCTTCCTTTGTGCTTCCAAGTTGCTTTGGACAGTGAGCGTTTACGGGAATTGCTGTTTGACATGGAAGCAATCTCTTACCATTAGTTTAATAGACAGTTTTCTGGGAACCAAAAGTTGCTTATCTTATGCCAGCGCAGAGACAGTTTGTCCTAAATGTTTGGCCATAAATGCAACACACAGCTGGAGCTAAAGTTAGGTCTATTACTTGGTGACTTTCTTGCTCACAGAAATCACTCACCTTATACTCAGGTAAATACAGAATGTACCATGTGTATTTTTTCACATTAGGTTTATCCAGTCCATAAACAAAGGTTTACATTTTTAAACAGATAAATCAGTTTTCTGTAAAAGTGAGTGCGTTGTTAAGTAAATGAGGCAAAGTGATAAAATAAGGACACAGCCAAATCTGATCAACCACAGGAAAAGTTACAGCTCTGTGACACATGACCAGAAGCTCAGGAATGTAATCTGAAGTTTTTTGCATGCATTGATGTATTTGAAGCATTGCAATAACTCCCTTGCTGTAGCAGTATTCCATATATGGCAGTAGTCAAATGCAGGGAAGGCCTTTAATATTGTTCTTATCTAAGACACTGTGGTGATTAAGTCTCTGATTTTTGTTTTGTTTTGTTATTTTCATTTATTTTTACCACCTTCTAGTTTCCTTACAAGCATAGACTTAACCACTTTTTCTCCATTCCCACCCTCTTATTTCTGTTTCCTTTTGAAGCTGCTCTTGGAGATAGCGTAGTCTTTGAGGGCAACACCTTAGTTTCTCTACCACGACTACTCTGTGGCAGGTGCTTTTGGGGTATGGGTAAGCAGCCCCTTTTTTTTCCCCACCTACCCTCCTCCATATAATTCTCTAGTAGCAATAATGCAGCTGTAAAATCAGTAGTTTCTCAATGTGTCTTTACTCCTATGTCTCTTAAAGCTTAACGGTAACTTTGTGCTCCCCAAATTCTGGGCTTCCAAAAGATGCAACCTTTAAGAATTGAGAACCATGTTAAATACAGAATGAAAGAACTAGAGAAAGTCAGAGCAAATGCAGTGTAAGAAGAGAGCAGCCAGACCCACGAGATAGGCTGATTATTGGGTTCCTTGCTGTCCACAAAGTGTTTCTACAGAGCAAAGGAGATGGATGCCCTAGAGCATGTTGTAAGGAAGATACAAACTCCTCACCAGGAGTTGTTTTCAATACTGAGCAGGAGGTTGTGCTTTTTTTTTATTTTGGCAGAGTTGGTTTGCACAGCTTCTAATTTTAAAATCATTAGATGCATGGCTGGCTGGCTGATCCTTCATAAACAAGAATGAAATGGCAGTTTTTTTTGTAAGCAGAGAACATGATGAAAAACTGTGCAAAATAGCATTTTTAAAGTCTGTATGCTGATAAATGACTTCTAGAAACGGAGGATGATCACATTAATCTTTATTTCTTCTTGATTAGATAGACCATAATTTTGAAGTTCTTAACTTTATCAGAAAAAAAAAAAAAAATCACCTGCCTTGGGATTGGAACACTGCTATTTCCTGCTATTTCCATTTGCTTTTTCATCTTCATATTGTGTAATGTGAAATGATGTAGTGTTATGGTTTTTGTCCTATAAAAATAGAACTCCATTTAAAAATGCATTAAAATCTTATTGTTATTATTGTTACAGAGACCAATGGGTCAGATAACTCCATCCCAATGGCGTATCTTACATTAGATCATCAGTTACAGGTAACAAATATATGCTTTGTTCTAATGTGTGAATTTGGGACTGCAAAATATAGGGCCACGTATTTACCTGTGTTTCTATTCTGTCTAACTTTTGACCAAGGCTAAAAAAAATGTATTATGTAATCTGAGATTGGTTGACTCAGATTTGATCAAGCTATTAAAAACAGCCTCTGGGAAACATGATCCGTAAAACCAAATGTAATCTGAGTGACTGTCAAAATAAGATTCCTTGCTTGAGTTTTACTGAATCAAATTGTTGCATTCACTGTATTTGTTATGTGTGTGATTAAAAACTACTTTGATTTTTGTTCCTTTTGATGAAGAGACTGTCAGATTAATAACTGCAGGTTGGAGGTTTGAGTCGACTTTGACATCAGTGCAGTAAAATTTTCCAGTGCATGGTTTAACACTTATTTTTAAAAGCTTACTGTTTTTTAAAAGATGTTATAAATACTCTGTGGAGACGTTCTAACATGCTGTACACTGACATATCAGTTCATTAGTTTTTAACATGTCTGATTTATTTTCAGCCTCTAGCACCATGCCCGAACTCCAAAGAATCTATGGCTGTGTTTGAACAGCACTGCAAAATGGCACAAGAGTATATGAAAGTTCAGACAGAAATTGCGTTGCTGTTGCAGAGGAAGTAAGTGATCTGTGACTGCTATTTCAGGCTTTACAAAATAAAATTTCATAGACCATGATCATTTTTCAGGCCTAATCTCTTAGAAGTACTGAACTACTCTCCATAGGTGAGATATTCGGAGAGGTAACTAAAGTTTCAATCAGTATCAAAGCTTTTCTTCTGGACAAGTCCACTTTAAAGTTTACGGGACATCAATCTATGTACCACAGTAGTTATGTTGTTTGCATCATTGCAAATAAAAGATCTGGACTGTTGAGGAACCTTGGAATTTTATTTCACTCTCTGTCCAGTAAAAGACCTTCAGTTGCCTTTTAGAATTGTAGATAACAGCTCAGTGTTACTTATTTAACAGTTAGTTTTTATGTTATATCCAGCATTTGTCAATCAGTATTACCAAGTCACATATCATGTTTTTCTAGTAGGAGTTTAGGACCTAATACGTGAAAGCCATTATGTACTTTCTTACGGTGTACATGTATACGTGAAGAAACTGCTTGCATGTACAGTTGGATTGGAGCCAAAGTTATTGCTGACTCAGAATGTCCATTTGCAATGCAATCTGTTATGTTTTGCTTCTCATCATTTCTCTTTCCTGGTGCTGGGGGGCAGTTCTTAGAGGTCATAAATACTTAATAAACCAAGTAACCAGCTTGCTACCCACAAGGGTCTAAGCCATGGCAGGCAAAGTGTTGTGTAAGCAGAGCTTGCCTTGACGTTTGTGGAATAGCTGAAGAACAAAAAAAATGTGTGTTCACTTCTGACTTAGCATCTTGAGAACATTTTTTTTTTCCCAAGTACTGTTAGAATTTACATAGTTCATGAAGAAATGTTGAATCTGCAGTGAAGATCTTAATTTTGTTTTTATTTCCATTGTCCCTCAGGACTGATTGGCAATATAAAAAGGGGCTTCTGTTTCAAAACTAATTCCTATCTTTTGATTTCTCCTTTTTCCTTTTTTCCCCATACTGTCTGTATAGAGATTTCTCCCCAGTTGTTTTTTCTTAATCAGAACATAATTGCCCTTAGGTATGAAACAAAAAATAGTGCTGTGATTGATGTATTTAATGTTGTTTGAGATAATAATTATTCTATAAAGGTTGAACTAATAAATTTTTTTAAAGTGTAATTACAAAGCACATGGCAACAATTAATTAAGAACATGAACTTTCTCCTCTACTATTTTGTTGCTAGATTACTATTGGCAGCTTGCCTGCTTGTCACCTCATAAACAAATAGTAAAACAAACTGCATTCTATTTAACTACATCCATTTTGTAGGATAATTTTAGCAAGTTTATCAGTGCATTTGTTCCTCTAAAATTGTTGCTTTAAAAACGTATTGTATCCTTAATGCATTAATTAAGTGAAATCACAGCTACACAAATAATCTGCCTGATATTTTGCTTTCCACTGCTTTAAAATGTACAGTTCAAAGTAAAAAACAGCATTTCAGTGCAAAGTTGCCAGTTGCTGTGGTGTTTTTCCGAAGATCAAAAAGAAAAACCCCAAACTTTATCATGAATGATGTCATAAGGGCATGTAAAGCACAGAATACTGTTCTTACAGCTTTAAACTTTCGTGATGAAATCTTAACTGAATCATTCAGGTAATTCCAAATGTGGCTTTGTTTTAGTGCTGTCTGTAAATAATTAGGATGCTGGGGAAAGAAACAAGTCACAACGTTATGTTTTGTGGAAAACTGCATTACAGAAATTAACAGATACAATTGCAGAGAATTTGTTCCTCTAACAGTAGTTGCTAAAAAACATTTTAGATGATGATTGCATAAATTAGCTCTAGTAACAATTGTAAAAATATTCTGCCTGATTCTGCTTTCCACAGCTTTAGGAAGGTCAATTGCAAATAGAAAACAGCAAAACAGCATTTCACTAAAAACTGATCTAAATTATTTTGGTTTTGCCTCTTACTGCATTGTTAGATGTGCATATACATAAGCAAAATTAGTATTAAATTTATGAATTTCTCTGTGGATTCTTACATGTTCTACACCTGAAAGCTATTATTAAAAGGACAAGAGAAGAGATTGAGGCTGGTTTCCAGCTGTTTTAATGTTTGAATGTGGATTTAATTTGGAAGAGAATTTCTCCCCAAACTATTGTAAAGAATAAGATTTTCGTCAACTTAATTTTTTGCACAAAATGTCAACAGCGATAAATTTAATCAAACAAGTATTTGAAATGCATGAGTTCATCTTGAGGGACACTGTTTACTGGGCATGGGGATGAGTTAATGGCTGGACTTGATGATCTGAGAGGTCTTCTCCAAACTTAATGATTCCTTGATTCTGTGATGCATTTCTGCTCAAATGGACGTAGATTATAATTGATGGGTTTGTTGTTGTTTTTTTTCCCCTTTTTACTTCAGGCAAGAATTAATAGCAGAACTGGACCAGGATGAAAAAGACCAACAAAATACATCCCGTCTGGTACAAGAACATAAAAAGCTGTTAGATGAAAATAAAAGTCTCTCAACTTATTATCAGCAATGCAAAAAACAGTTAGAGGTCATCAGAAATCAGCAACAGAAACGGCCAGGCACATCATGATTTCCTGGGACCTTTCGAATGAAAAAAAAAAAAAATATGCACAGAAAAGACTGATTTTTTTTTTTAATTGTTATTATTATCCCTTATTATGACAACTCATGAGTGTTAGCTTCTCGGTGTGATCTGTATTTGTCTGCTACACTTAACATCATTTAATTTTTCCTTTTCCTACGGTGGACATCTGATTCAACAGGTTAATGAGATAAGGTGAGAAAACAGTGACTTGAATTAACCAACAGCCCACAGTATAAAGCAAGAACAGTGGCTGTATGCATGCTCCTTGTGTGAAGGCTAGCCTAACAAGTGTTAAAGTGGCTGCTAAATTGTAAGATCTTGGTTTTAGTGTTTGGTGTTACCTTGATAAGAGCAAAACAAAAACTTTCCTGTTTAAGAATGGCTTTGTTCCAGTGTCTCATCTCAAACAAATTTATCATTATTATTTTCAGGACGTAAACATGCATCAAGCTGCAGAGGTGATGTTGGCTGACCAGAGTAATTCATGATGCATTAGTGATGCCTTTTATCTGTAGTCGTAGTATATTTTTTCCACCTGCAAAATGGTAGTCAGACTGATGCCAGCATCCTTGGTTCAGTGCTTGATAGCCCTGCATTTTGACTAATGTATTTGTTGTAATCTTGGATTCATAAAATATTTGAAGTAAAACACTGTATTTTCTTTACTTTCTTGGGGGGAATGACATGCAGTTTCATGTAGTTACGGGGCAGCAGTTATGAAAGTGATTCACTGAGTAAAATTGATCCTTTGTTTAGAAGAAACAAAAATGTACGAAAACAATTTTCAAGCCTTTAAAGCTTTTTTTCTCTGAAGCTTTCTGAAAATGAAATTCAGAAAGCAAATGAACGCAATTTTAAATTCTCCCTTCATACCACTTCACGTGAATTTTTTTTTTCTTTACAACTTACTTGCTGAACAGCACTTGCCATAAATGCAAATAAGTTTGTTCTGGATAGGAAGAAAAAAGCTCGGGGAAATGAATTTATTTCAAGTAGCAAATTATGAAATACAATTGAGTATGAAAACTGAGGAAACTGTTAAGAAAATGAGGGAAAAGGCTTAGATCTCCATCAGGAATCTCAGTTATTCCACTCATTTGAGCATAGCTCAAAGGAAGTCCATCTCAGAATGCCTGCTGCTGCCTTTGTGAGTGAAGAATTGCATTTAATGTACTCAAGCAGGATAGATAATTATCAGTGTCATTATTTATCATTATTACATGGGAGAAAACAACTACAACTACTTGTTTACATTGCACATTTGTTATTTGGTCTATGAGTTAACTTTTAGCTGGTACAGAAATTAGGTATAGAAATAGAAATTAGTCCTCACATGAGCTCTTGGCACACTCAGGTGTTGGCAGGGCTTTAACAACATTATTTTGCAGAGGGAAAATAAAAATTTGAAATTTAGCTGCTGAGCCCTCAAAATATGAGAGGTAATAGGAACTTTGGTTTATGTTTATTTCAAATTAATAATTATTTTATGGGAACCCACGGGCAGAAATTAGAAAAACATTAATGGTAGAAATATCACAGCATTTTCTATTCCCCTTCCTGCATACCTGATAATAAACATCAATACTCTTCTGCTTATTTGTGAACAAAAATGACCAACAGTTTACTGAACAGTGTCACTCTGTCTTGAAAATAAATCCACTGTTGGCAAATTTTTAGGAATAAGAAACATGTCCCACTTTTACTTAAATAAGGGAAGGGCAATCATTCCCAAAACCTTAGCAGATAATTTGATTAGTTAGATGAAACTGATATTGGGATCAACTTAAGGGCACACGTATTTATAGTAAAATGTAATTGGTGGAGAAAATAACTGTAGTATTAGGAATAGCACAAGTTATCCAAAGCACTGCTGTTCACATACATCTGTCCATCTACCAAAATGGACTCACTCCGTGCTCAACAGCTTGCTTAACATGTGCTTAAGCATCAAGTAGAGCACATAAATACTAATGCTAGACTTGAGATGCATGGTAGATAATTACACATACAAAATCATTTCTCTGAACAGTTTTTACCTGGTTGCCTCATCTTAAAACAGATTTGCTTAAAATAAATTGATACTGTCTACAAAAAGTCAATTCACGGCAAAATTTGAATAATGAAAAGTGAAAACAGTGCTTCATGGTACGTAATACAAAAGTCAGTTCTAACAGTAGCTCTTGACTTTTCGGAGTTTACATTAAAAAGAATCTCAGATCGTAAAACAAGTGCTGTGCTCCATTCAACAGCTGGGTTATAGCGCTGTTCTTGTAACATACAAGGGCAACTTGGAGTTTGGCCTTTGGCTTTCAAACTGTCTCTTTCTTAAATGCACCTTTTTTTTTTTCTTTTTTTTTTTTTTTTTAAATTATTTGCCTATATTTTTCAGTGAAGTGTTCTGTGTGGCAAAATTTGTGTTAAAAAAAGGAAAAAAAAAAAAACCACCCCAAATAACGGTAAAACGTACCAATTTGGGCTATGAAGAGTTCAACAGCTTAACTTTCTAGTGACTATTTCCATAAGGCTCTTGTTTTAAAGTTGTTTACAAATGTACTTTTCTCCTTTTGTTAAACTATCTGGAGTGTTCAGGAGGTTTTTCATGTACTCTTTTGTCCAGTTAAAGCCGTTCTTCTGGTAATGGAGGTGACACATCTAGTTTTGTCTGGGCAGGGCCTTCTAGGAAAGATAACAGGCTCTGCTTTTTGTTCAAGTATGTGTTCTGTAAGATACTGTGTAACTGAAAGTATGCTTCTGTACACTGTGCAGTTCTACCAAAAAATGCTTTTTTTTTAGGCTTGTTTGTTTTGTTTTGTTTTGTTTTTTCTGATGAGAAGCTGAAGATTGTAATTCAAAACTTGTATATAAAATGGTGAATGATTTCATATGATTCAGGAATGAGCAGTGTGGCTTTCTGCCTACAGGGTTTTAATACTTTATTAGGAATCTCATTAATAAAAGCTGTGCGACTTCCACAAACAGATAATAATGCTCTTGCCAGGGCATCCTTGATCTCTGCTGGAATCCCACACTGGGTGGGGGATGATCATCACACAGTTGTTCCCGCCACCGAAAGAAAATTCTTCTGCTATTAGCTCTTCCCTTCCTGTGTGCAGAAGTGGGGCGTGGGATGAATATTCCTGGTCATAGCTGACTATGGAGATATTTTAAGAATGCCACATCTTTCATACTGGTTCTGTGAAAAGATGAGCGCTCCTCTTGTGTTGTTCTTACAGATTCCTTTTCCTAGAACTTTTCTGTCCTATTTGTAATGGATTTGAGTGTCTGAGTGCTTACTTTGACATATCACACGTGGATGCAACCTTTAACTGTCTCCTTGCCTGTGAAGAACACAAAATCTTGCATCAGATCAGTTCTGAACTATTTTGAACAACCTGGCCACTACAGGTGTGCATTTGATGCCTCAGAATACTGCACAAGGAGAGTAATCTTGGGGGAAAAAATAACAATCCATGTACATGTTTATGCACACATATACATCCCCTTTTATCTGCTTAACTTATACAGATATGGAGAGTTGCATTCAATCAGAATTTTTACATTTACTTTCATTTTCAGAAGCTGCTGAGCTGAGGGAGATAAGCTCTCTGTAGAAAGCTTTTATTTCCCGTAAAATGCTGTTAAGTGGGCAGTGCTTTAAGCATCTGAGGTAGAGTTCCGTAAAGACAGATTCATATGGATGTCTGTCTGGAAGAATGCACTGAAGAACTGTGCCTGCGTGGTCCTTTCCTGCTTGTGGGAACAGTTCAAATTTTGAGAGTTTTGCTATGAGTTTTTCAGCTTCATACCTGCACTCTGACTCTAGACACAGGGTGTACTTCATGAAAAAGCTGAACTAACTTTAAGCCAGATAATTTATTAACAAAATACTGTCTTAAAATTCTTTAAGAGCACTATAATCCCAGAACTTTAACCTGAACAAGCACTAACAGAGCAAGTGAGCTCTGTCTCGTGGGGCTGGAAGTGTGGCTCCTGGTTGGTGCTGGGGGACAATGAGGGTGGTGCTGCACACCCTAACCACGTTTCCCCATGCTAAACTGCAGCTCTGAGCCCTGTCTTCACTCAGACATCTCCCTGTTGTACTATGCAGCTGATGGTCTCAGTGTAAATACTAATCCCTGAACACTGGCATACAAACCAGGAAAATGCAGGGTTCTTCCCTTTTCCCTCCCACTGTTGTCAAGGGCAAGAGGCAGCAGAGCAGCTGCACGTAGGCTGCTCTCCTCTGGTATTTAGGCAGAAGACCAAGGATTGAGTCCCATTCATATAGCATATGGGCTCAGCACATGGGCTAGGTCACAAGTATAGCTTATAATGGAAAATCAGAAAAAAAGAATCCCTGGTTCTAGGAGACTTGAAAATGATGATGTGGTCGGGTAGCTGGGCTTAGAGCAGTTGGGCCAACTCTGAGTGATCTGGCCCTGGCAGCTCCCCCGAATAAGAAGAGGAGCAGGCAAAATACAACGTGAGAAAAGGAGGAGAGCTGCTCACACTGAGCCCTTTAAGCTGCATAGCTAGTGCCAACACTACACAAATCTAAGACTGCTCAGATTTCCTTCTGAAGACAGGCAGCTACAAATTTCTTTCTAAAAGAGGGAATAAGTCATCCCATGATGTGAGGATTCCTGTTTGCCTGACCGTCACAGCAGGAGTGATGCTGGGAGTTCTTGAGAGGCCCCAGGGGGCTCTGCTTCTGCCAGACCTCGGAGGACTCTTCAAAACAGCTGCCTCCCAAAAGTTAAACCTGGTATGTGCAAATCAGACTCTTATTAAAGTTTCTTACATCATCAGTGGCAACCAGGCTAGAGCAGAGTCGCGAATGGTTGGGGAGGTGAGGAGAGGCAGCTAATTTAGCTCGTCCTCTGAGCTCAGCCTGGGGTTGCATGCTCCAGACACAAAGTATTTCTGTCACTGCAGGCCACAGACGAGGCCTAAGAGGTAGCAGAAGGAGCCATGTTGATGAGTGCAGCTGTGCTTAAAATAAAAGTGAAGCTCAGCAGCTGAGAGTGGCAGCCTGGGAGCAGAGAGTGCTGTTGTCATAGGGGGTTTAACAACTACTCCAGGTGTCCATGAGTGCTGGGAAACACTGAAGTTGTAATGATGTCTGAGGATTAGGTCAATCTGCTTATAGTTATCTAAAACTCTATGTACAAGGAGATGCCTGAAGAGCAATGTGGGATTTTGTTTAGATGGAAGGGGAAAAAAAAGATGAGTACACTATATCCTGCTTTTTCGACAGGGAAACACCTGTAGCTCTAGCATAAAGTATGGTCTGTGTGCAATGCTGAAGGGACAGCGTGGGGAAACAAGAAGGGGCACGATGGAGACTATTTCATGGTTGCTTTCTGGAGTGCTCAAACCTCACAGGTCTTAAGGAAGAAAACTAAAAAGCTTCACAACCACAGCTGGGGGAGATGTGTTGGCCCTCCTCAAAAAAGCTCCATAGGTCAAAGGGAGTCTACAGTCACAAGTGTTCCAGTTCTGATGTTTTAGGAGCATGTGATCACCTGCCCAAGTCCTTGACCTTCACCTGCTCTGTGTGGATGTAGCTGCAGAGGTGTCAGATGGAGCACTGTTGTGTGCTCCCAAGAGGGCTTATTTCATAACTGCTTATTGTTTTTCCTCTTAAAAAAAAAGAAGAAAAAAAGAAAAGAAAAAAAAAGAAGGGATTTGTATACATTTTAGAAATCTGAAATTTAGATCACTTGTTAAACAGTACAGCAGAGCTCTCCATGCTGGCAGTGTACTGTATAATTACTCCATAGCTCTCTAAAATCAGCCAGTGCTGCCAGCTCCTGAGAGTGTTCCAGCTATAGCAGGATGAGAGAATGAGCTGAATGTTTTAAAAGAAGCTTAAAAGTGCCGAGTGATTATGCTGTGGTCCCTCCAGCTGTGTAATGGAAAAGCATGTGCTGGTTCTTAAATCCACTTGAAGTACAGAGGTACTCAGGAGAGACATTCTTAGCTCTGTGCTCAAGCCACCCCAGTGGCACTCCACATGGTGAAGGTTTTTGTAAGCTCTCCCAAACCTGCTTGCTGCCAGCTCTATGGTGTGACCTGCTGCCCAACCAAGAGCGCTCAGAGGAGCATCTGCACCCCCAGGCAGGTCAGAAGCTGAGTTCAGCATCAGTGTTGCTGGGGCTAGTTGCATAAAATATTACTGTACGGTATGGCAATGGATTGCAAGCTATGCTGTTCACTTCTTAACTTGGCATGGATACAAATCCCTTAAGAATCAGATGATGAATGCTAAGTACTTTGAGCTCTCCTCAACCTTTATGATCCAATGTCTGGTGTTAGACTAATGTTCCCCATGGTAGCAGCTCAGACCTAATTACTGCAGAGTGAGTGATGGTAGTGCACCAATGCTGGCTTGCTTGCTTTCAGCCACAGCAAAGTACAAAAATTTTCAGCATGATTAAAAGCAAGAAGTAGCTCTAGGGATCATTTTTGTTTTGTTCCATTGAGATGAAGGAAAAGAAAACAGTGAGTCGTTCTTTATTTTCAAGAGCTGTGTGTTCTTGTCAGGGTTGGAAGTCTTATTCCAGGGTATCTAGGACAGCAGCCAGTAGGAGAAGCCCCTATTGCACTGAGTTTGAAGATGTACCCTCAGCCTTGGAGCAGGCATCCAGAGAGACAGTGGGAGTATTCACCACAGCACTAGTTCCCATCAGCTTTATAAGTAAGGGAATGGGGTGCTTTTCCACAGCAGCTCAAATAACAACCCTGATTTAGACTACTGAAGTGGATGATGCAAAGCAGATAACATCCTGCCTTGTGCATCAGCCTCCCCAGAGACTGTACGAACGGGCATGGAAGGGATTGTCAGTTGTCTGATGTTAGCATTTGTGAAAACCCTCACAGCTCCCCATCTGTCAGCGTCCACCAATGAACAAAACCCAAAATGATACATACACCCATCTTGACCCCACTATTGTGTTTGTGATGCTGAATATGTTCTGAGCCTGAAAACTGCCAATCATGTAACTGACCTGCAGCTCTCACGTTAAGAGTACACAGTAAAACTTGCCCTATAATTCTGACCACAGATAATGTTTTGAGATGCAAGAGCCAGTGTTCAAATCATGGTTGTAAATAGCAGTACCACGAGCAGCAGACCCACGTGTGCCCTTGGCGCGTTTCCAGCAGAACTGCAGCGCAAGTCATGCAGTCACCACAGCTTCACCTCAGAGCAGAAGGGGATGCTAAACTGTGGCTGTGGTTTTGCAAGGGAAACATCTCTGATGTAGGCTAACGTCACCAATTTGCTTGGTGTTTGCCACCCAGCAGACAAATGAGTGAGTGAATCATTACCAGCACCTCCTACATAAGCCTGTGACCTAGAGGCTCTGTATCCAAATTCTTTTCGTTAATGGCACCGTGGGACAAGGATAGATTGAATTTCAAGGACAGGAATATTAACCTCAATTTCCTTCCCTAATTGAGTGTGGAGAAACAAGAGGTGCGAGAGAAGCAAGGAACAAGGACGTGGGTCAGTATCAGTCATCTGGTCTCACAGGCAGCAGTGTCTTGTAAAAATTGCAGTGACCAGAAGGCAAGAGCTTTTTTGGCAGCATATAGAGCATCAGTAATAAGAAGACTGACAGGAGTGACTGGGTTTTCACTGCTTATTTAGATCACAGAATCACAGAACTGTAGGGGTTGGAAGGGACCTCCAGAGACCATCGAGTCCAACCCCCCCTGCCAAAGCAGGTTCCCTACAGCAGGTCGCACAGGTAGGCATCCAGGCAGGTCTTGAACATCTCCAGAGAAGGAGACTCCACCACCTCCCTGGGCAGCCTGTTCCAGTGCTCTGTCACCTCACTGTAAAGAAGTTCTTGCGCACATTCGTGTGAAACTTCCTGTGCTGCAGCTTATGTCCGTTTCCCCTTGTCCTGTCTCCACGTACCACTGAAAAGAGACTGGCTTCACCACTGTGGCCCCCACACCTCAGATATTTATAAACCTGGGTGCACAACTCTTAGCAAAGGCTTATAATGGCAAATATCTCACAACAATTCGTAAGGTTATAACAACAGAACAAGGATGCAACACAAGGACTGTGTGTGATGCTGGGCACACTGAAGCTTTTAGGGGAAAAGGATGTGTATGTAGCCATCAGGTGGGCTTTAATCGACAGTATGTCCTGCTGGCAGAGTAGTTCTTACCTGAGACACTTCCCCAAAACCTTGTAAGCACGGTAACAGAGACACAGAGGTCTGAGGGAGGGTAGCTGACCTTCCAAAATGTCCTTACCTGATTCAGGAGTCAGGTCTGTATGTCCTGCCTGTTCATCTGGGATTTTCTCCAATGGGTTCCAACGATCCTGTTCCTGGTGAAGATGCAGGTAAGCAGCACAAACTGGGGGTATTTCCTACATCTGGAGAGTGTTTAACCTCTAGGCCAGAAAAGACTGAGGCACTTTTTGCTTCTGTTTGCTAAGTTGATTGGACTGGTATGACTGGAAGTTTATCAGCCACTTGCAATATAGTCCAACTGTTGTGAAAGAGGGATAATAATGCATGAAGGGTACATCACTGGGAGACACAGCAGGTTGATGAAATTACATCTTCATGTGAGACACGTCTCCTGCATAACAAGGTCTTAATAACAGACAATGGCTTTGGGGCCTGCTGCATACCAGCTGACTCTGCTGAATCCTGCTTAGAATAACTATTAATGAAATAAAGCAGTCTAAGAGACACCTTTCTGGTAATACCCAAAAGAGCTTTACAATTCAAGGAGAGGAAAATATTCTAATTCAAATGAATTGTTACTTGCTAAAAATTCTGTAAAATCATTGAAAATTCTGGTTGTTTGTTTTTTTTCTTTTTGTGGTTGAAATAGGAGTTTGTCAGTGATCAGTTCAAGACTCTCCTTACAAGTGATTGCATTTCATTGCATCGAGATTCAGTGGAGTTATTGAAGAAATTGCCTAAAGCTGCATTTCCACATGTAATGCACGTTTGAAGAAAGAACTTCTCAAGTTTTTTTCTGTGCTATTTAGGACACAGGAAATGCAAGTTCACCTTCCTTATATGAAATCCAGTACTGCCTGCAAAGACATAAATAAAATACATTACTTTCTTGCGGCAGCATTAACAGAGCAAAGGAAAAACAAACATTTGTTTTACTTGATGTCTAGAGAAAATCTCTATGAAATGGTGAATTTTGTTGATCTCCTGACTCAACTCAGTTACTCTCAGCTCCCCAGAATCCCACCATTTTAAGAAAGCTAGAACCCACTTGTATGGGAACTTCAGAATCATGGCCTGAACCTCTGATTGATCATCTGAGGAAAGCACTGTGTCAGCTGCGGGAGCACAGGTGAAGGCAATTCGCCTGTGTGACTGGAAAGGGTGGAGCCTGGCTGTACCTCTCCTAGACCCTATTTAATGGCTGACTGCCACAGAGGAAGGATCTCTTCCTGGAGGTTGTTCCCTCGGGAGTTTTCTTGTGAGCCTACATTACAGGTAAGCATTTTCATTTATTTTTTGTTATCCCTCTCCATCATGATAATCTTTCTAGCTATATGCTCTGTAAATGCAGCCTAACCACTCTGTGTATTTGTTGATTATACATCTCTTTATTTGAGAAAGCAGGCGAAGTTCTCTTTAACCTACAGTGATCCAGAAAATACAGCCGCATCCAGAATGGCAAAACCAGAAGCTAGCACAGAACAGAAAGGCATCGTTTTCTGTGTTTGCTCTCTGCACACCACTGCTGTTTTACTGAAGATCTGATTTTGTTTTTTCTTTGTAGAGAGTGACCCCCATTGTCTTCTGCAGAAACCTGAGCTGCTCAACTTGAGTGCCCATCCCTAATGGGAACTCTCACCCTGCCCCAGTTAGGGAGCTACCAAAGCCAGCATCCTAACAGAGGAACTCCTATTGCCTGAGTCACCAGTACCCTAAATTATGCACCAATAAGACTGACTGCATCCATGGATGTGCTTTAAACTATTTATTGACCTCATCTTCTGATTTTCCTGAATATATGGTTTTGAGAGATACATATTTATTTCTGTATGAATATATATCTGACATGTACAGATTATCCTCTAAGTTTAAGCAAGAGGAAAAAAGAAAATAGGTGCTTCTGCTCTTTGCTGTGCTTACTTGTAGTGAAAAGCACTATGTTTTCACCACAAGAGTGGTAATAAATACATGCAGTTTTTCTGCAGCTCTTCAGTGTCAGCTATGCAACAGCCAAAGCATGAAGCTTGTGCTTTTAGGTGTAGGGCTGGATCTACAAGAAACTACAATAAATTTGAAAAGTTAATTAAGCAACATGGAAAATGCTAGCATAGGCGAAATCGTGTTGTAATTACCCTCTATGCCAGCTATAAATGGATTACACATATCACTGGAGATGTAAAATGCTGCTGTTCTGATATGAATAACAACAACAGAAGTCCTCATTTAAAAAGGGGGTTTTTTTTGTTTTTTGTTTTTTTTTTTTTTTACATTTTACACTCCTCAGTACTGAAAGTGACTTATATAAAAAGCTATGTTAGGATTCTCCTCTTATCTAGGAGAGGGAGAGCATGAGCTACTGAGACTGGGGACTTCAAGTTTTAAACAAATGAAAGGCTTCTGCAGCACATGGAGGAGAATATCTACTGCAGATGTTGGAAGATAGAAGGCCTGTCAAGTACCCAAGTGGCTTGGCACATGCAGTGTAGTTTTGATCCTACCGGTGTGCTTCAGTGGTCATATGGCAGATAAATCTTCTTTTCCTTTTAGTGCTTTCCCATGTGCATTACTTCTCTCTTATTCATTTTTTCTCTGTTGTGAACTTAAAGCAGGCAAGCAAGAACAACATTTTTGACTTCTTTTGAGCTTATCTTCAGTATGAGGTGTGGCTATTTCATTTTTCATCACTGGCAGTTCATTTTCTTTTTTTTTCTGCCTGCTCTCAGCACTCAAGCTCTTACACTTTTTTTTTTTTTTCATGAGCCCATTTATTTGTATATGATAGAATCATAAAATTGTTTGAGTTGGAGGGGACCTTCAAAGGTCATCTAGTCCAACTCCCCTGCAATGACTGGGGACACCTGCAGCTAGATCAGGTTGCTCAGAGCCCCATCCAGCCTGACCTTGAATGCCTCTAGGGATAGGGCATCCACCACTTCTCTGGACAGCTATTCAGCTGGATAGGAAGAGTGCGGCAGTTTGCTGCTTGGAAGAGAAGAGGTGAGTCTTGGATTCCCAGCAGGTGAGAGGCCTCTGCTGCAGGAGGGCTGAGCAGCACGAGGAGGCAGGGTTTTGAGCTGAGTTGTTCACAGAGATATTCAAAATGTGGTAACTGTGACAAGTACTTGAATAAAGACCCAGCAAGAGAAAAATGATGCCAGCAGCCCTCATGGTCCCTTTTGTGCAAGGCAATTTTTCTCTTATATTAACATGTCAGTGCACTGAGGACTTCATGCTTGCTAAGACTTCTTGTTTTGTGATTTCCCACAGAGCCATGAATTTTGTTCTACTGAAAGCTGTTATTATGCAAAAAATATGACTTTTTTTTTTAAAATTTTTTTTTCTCTAGCCTCCAGAAGAACATCACTGCTTTTGAAGAAGCATCCCTGCTCTGCAGAGAAATCTCCCCAGGCCTGGCAACCTAAAAACTGTGGTTGTCATTGAGCGAGCCTGAAGTTGTGCGCGTAGTTCATTTCAGCAGCAGCCTGGGAATGATCCTGAGCTGATTAAACTGTGCTAAGTCATCAGCTGCTGGTGCTGAAGGCTGTTCTATGACTTGGAGTTGAGAACTGCAGTGGTTTCCTCATTTACATACGGACTTGTTGGGAAGGAGCATCATGCAGATATCTGTTAAATGCACAGAGATGCTCTAATGGGTGCAAAGTGGTTTTGTGTCTGAAATTTGGTGCTGTTAATAATTTAGGAGCACATAAAAAAGTCCACCTGGGGGGAGGCTGGAGCTTCTAGCTGCTGCAAAGAGCTACCATAAAACCCAGGCTGACCCAGATGGCAGCTGGACAGGCTTGGCCCCAGAGAAGCTGGATTTTGGCTGTTAGCAAAAAGTCATCTTAGGGCTGTCAGAAATCAGCCTTGATTTACTTGCACAGAACACAGATTAATTGGACAGAATATAAAGGACACTAATGGCTAAACCTCACAGATGAATTATCAAACCAGGTAGACCTCCTGCCTGGCACAAAAGATGCTGGCAAACCACCCAGAAATGAGGCAGATTTGCTTGCAGCCATGTGTTCCCTCTGCTTTTCTGTGACAGTGCAGCCATTTGTAATCTGCTGGTGATTTACCTGTGTGTGTGTGACAAAAAGGAAGGTGAGACGTGGTTTTTTGCATTTTGTTCTGCCCAATCAGTGTGCTATCTCGCCAGAGGCAAGCACAGAGAGGGATGGAAAAGCCAATTTTCCTATTTTCACAGTGGTTTAAAGAAAGTGCACAGAAACTATTTTGGTGGATCTGCAGTCTGTTAGAAGTGTCCATTAAACAGATTTCCACTTACTCTAGCAGAGCTCTGGTGACTTACATCAGTCAAGAATCAGCTCATCATTTCCTTTAAAGTTACTCATTCTGTGGTTAGGAGCTCTCTAAGCAGCATTTCAACTGAATTTTTAAAGAGAAGAAACCCTCAATGAACTTTCTGATGCAAATACAAGTTTGAAGTGATATTTCACAGCAATAATGTAGTTAATTTTCTTCTTCCAGAGCTTTCGGTGAGCTTCAGTGAAAGGGATGTTCCATCTTCTTGGTCTCTGTATTAATATTTGTACTTTGTGTTACGTTTTACAAAAACCATTTTCACAGACCTTTTTATTTGAATTCAGCATGTTAAACATGGCTTTCATAAACCTCTGATGTGCTATCAATAATTTACCAAGCACAAGGCTTACAACTTAGCTAAAAGTTATCATCTATAATGTATACATCTACTTGCGTTTTCCCAGAAGCAGTGCAATTTGACCTTTTGCTATACAAAGGAGTAAGCTGTTTCTGCATGGTGAGGCTGTGGTTTTCCTCTTTGTTTTGCACTGCAAGCATTGCATAATCTTGAATTTAAAAAAGAAAAAAAAAAGACATTAAGTTGCAAGGTGTTTAGGCTGGGAAACAAATACAAGCCCTACTATACTCTCTTGAGCAGCGTGTTATACTACAGTGTAAAATTTCATACTAAAAATGTTTTGGAGCCCTGTCACAGCTTAACACTGTGCTCCTGAGGATAATTATACCTTTGGGAGCAATTCACTTTTTCCTCAAAATGAAGCTGTTTCCTTAGACATGGCATGTTTTCAGATGTGCCAAAGTGACCTGAGGGGTTTTAGTTACGTGGTTAGAGTGATGCTGGGTGTCCATTGAAATCAATGGGACTTAGTTTCCTAAAAGTCCAAGTTGCTTTTGAGAATAGGCATTACGCAGCCAAGTCACTTTGATCTGGCATTACAGCTCTGTTTAAAAAAGATTCTGCTGTTTTGTTTTATGTCAGCAAGGCCACCAAGACCGTTCTTCTCTTTCCTCTTCTCTTTTCAACTACGTCAGCCACCGGTACTCTAAAAACAGAGGCTCTCAGACTTATAGTGATACACTCTAGAGAAACCTGACACTCAGCCTTCGTATATAATCACATGGATATGAAAGTGGGCTTCTATTCAAAATCAGGTGCTGGGGGTGGACTGAAGAGACTGATCTTCCACGTGCATTCAGGTACTCATACTAGAGACATAGGTTCCAAAATCATTGGGTGCAAGTAAAATTTGCAGTGAGGTCCTACTAGAATTACAATTTCAAAATCATATGAAGGAGTTTTGTGTTTGTAATGAAACCCCAAATTGACTGGACTGTAGGATTTGGGGGTATTCTAACCCTCCCCAAATTATTCGTCAGATAAGAACCCTTTCATTGGGTGGGCAATTTTCTGGACTGCTTCTGAGTGCTGTGGTATCTCAGCACTGGGTTTTGGATGAGGTCTTTTGAGATGCTATTTCTCCAACTTACTCCCTCAGAGAAGCATCACTGACTTTGTGAAAGAACTCTCTTTGTTCCCTCTGTGGATCAGCACTGAAGCAGGTAGGAAATATTAGGCAATCCATTATTGTAAAAGAAAGATTGTTTAAACCAGAATGCCTGGAAGGACCTTACCTCTAGACAACTGGAAGTCATTTCTAAAACCTCTTACTCAGTAAGAATCATTTAATTCTTTGAAATGTGGGCCGTTTTCAAGTCATTTTCTACAACAAATCAGACCAGCTCAACCTGTTTGTCACATTTTAGTAATATAAAAGGACATAACTGAATTTTATTTTAATGGTAATTGCAAACTCATGCAGAAAATGTAAATGCACACTTCCTGATTAGCTTGCAGCATAAACCACAGCTTCTATTAATGTATTCCAATTTGTAATTCTTTGCACAGTATGAGATTCGAAAGCTGTGATTAAAATTAATTAGGTTAAGTAAAGTTTATTCCCCCTGAGCACTGCTATTTGAAGAAAGAAATAGTAAAACACTAGCTACATCTGGCACTGCAGGAGGTTAAAGCATCACAAGGAATAGCAGCATTGCTTTTGTCAAAGGAGTCACGTGCTGATCCTTCTGGCATAACTTCAGCACCGTGTGTTCTTTCCGAAAAGCTAATTGGGAGCTGTTAGGTTACTCCTTGCCTCTTGTAAATGCTCTGGAGCTACAGCATCTGCATGAGCTGAAGAGTCAATCTTTGTAACACAGCAGATGATCAGGGAACATCATTGCTGCTTAGACCCTCCACAATGGGATCTGAATCTCCCAAGTTCAAGAGGCATCAGAAATGTCCTGAGGGAGCTCCAGTCTTTCTGTTCTGCAGCAGCCAAGCTCATGGTACTTTCACTTGTTAGTTCAGTAACCCAGGATGCTGGCTGGAAACATAACATGGCATATCGTGTACTACATTTTAAATTCTGGTCTGTGACTCCAGAGGAAGCAGTCAATGCCCTAGATCTGGCCTTCTACCATACTCTTTCTTCAGAACAGTGAATAGACTAATTGAAATGTTCTTTAGCAGGTAAGGATTTTACAACCATCATGTCTCACAGCTGAACTCTGTTTTTACTATTTATTGGGTATTAAGCGTACTTGGCTCAATAACCAGATCTCGTCTAGAAGCAGGAAGGTAGATTTGGAGACTGATGCAGTTTGGTGACTCAGGACAAAACCTTCACGCCTCTCTGATGAAGATGGGTTCTGCCTATTGAGGAAAGGTAAGGCCAGTGTGTCAGATAGCTCTTGCAAATGTTTTGCCCTGCTAGTGAGTGTTCCGTTTGCCTTCTCTTCCAGCTGGAGTTCCCCTGTGAGCTGCACCTACCATAATGCTCCCAAGAGTTATGTTTGCACACCTGGAGACTCTCTGTGCTTCTGTTGTTACCAGGATCTGCCTTAGAAATTCAGTCAGATGGGAGAAATAATAGAGGCTGTGGTCCAGGCAGGGAAAACAAAGCATCATTGCAAAGCATGAAGCACTTAGCCCACAGTGCTCATCAGACATTCCAGCAGATGGCAGAGGAGCTCACTAATACAGGAATGTCCTCCATGCAAAGCCAATTCAAAGCTGGGACAAACCTTGTGGAGAAGAATTTGAAAATCTAAAACAAGAATCTAAAGCTCAGTCCAGGTCAGCAGTGAAGTCTGAAAAGATGTTTTTTGTTTTCAGAAAGGAGTAGGTTAATGGGCATGGTGGTGATAGGTCAGTGATCTTGGTAGTCTTTTCCAAACTTAATGCTTCTATGATAACTATATTCCTAATTGCATCGTGGCACCTGATTAGGAAAGAAACACATGAATTCTGATATTGTTATTTTCGTTCTAGGCCTATGTTAACAGTCATAGGCACAGCGAAACATCAGGTTTGGTGCTTTTCTCACCCAACCAACCAGCTTAACTTCTCTCACCTTGTGTTTCATTGCCTGAAGTCAGGAGCTATACATGAAAGACAGCCCCAGTGGAAGCTCAAGGCTGAGCTCCCACATGTGGCAGAGGAAACAGGCATAGTCTATCACTCAAGGCAAAATTGATTGTTTCTATTTCTTCAATGTATGAATTGAAAAAGAAGAAACATGAAATCCCATTGAAAATAAAAATGTTTTATACTTTTTGCCTGACAGGAATTTCTGGGCAAGTTTTTTTACTGCCTGTAGTATTTTTGGATTAGAAGGAAAGGCCAGACAATATATAGTCGTACCATCCCAGTAAAAGCACCAACATTGGGGTGTTAAACAAAAGGGAATGGAAAAAAAAAATGAAGCCTTTGTAGGATTTTGCAAAGCCACAGCTCTGCAAGGCAATTCATTATTTCTCAGGCTCAGGAGGAGTCTCTGCAGTCTCTGAGTCTATCATCCCTTCAATGCAGGCCAGGTGGTAAAACCCAGTCATTTCTTTTACAAGCCTGTAATTTACCTGAGCTACAGCCATGTGCTTTAGCAAAACATCAGGAAGAATAGAAAGAGTTTCATTAGATCTGAAACAGCAGTAAATCCTCACTGACAGAACAGTATGAGACTATGATGCCTAGTGGATGCAGTGCTTCCAAGTCGTGCAATGGGAGACCTGAGCTGGTTGGTGTCTGCTGTAACCAACTTAGAGGACTTCCACCCCACCTGAACCAAAGATAGCACCCTACCATCCACAGGGCTGCCAGAAGACTAGAGTGGCTCTGAGTCTTGCATTCAGTCAAATGCAAGGAAGAGACTGCATAAAACAGACCACAAAAGCCACTTACCTTACTCACACCAAGATTTTGTATTCTTAAATATCACAACCAATCCCACTCCTTCCAGCTGTCTCCTTTTGTCACTCTTCTATTTCACCACACCACCACTGCTTTCCTCTTCCTGCCCTTCTGTACTCCTCACCCCACTGCAGTATGTACGAGCTTAGCAGAATGCATGTGATTGTTTGTTGAAGAAGTCTGAGAGCAGTAGAAGGAAAACACATGATATCATAATTACAGGAAAAGTATACAGATAGGACATGATGGCTGTTGATACTGGCAGCACATAGGTAGCAAAGAGTGGAAGCATTGGTGTGGTGGCAGAAAGCCTTGGGAAAAGGAGCAGCAATACACGAGGCTTTGGCAGCTGTGAAAAGAAGTGAAGGCCAGAATGTGACTTTGGTAAAAGAGGTGGCCTCCACTCACCTCTTCATGCTCTATTTTAGGAAGTATGAGAATGACCAGTATGAGCTTTTGCAAGGAACTTTCATCTCTTCCACCTGCTCTTTGACAGATGCTTGGAGACACAGGGAATATGTACAGAGATGTTTCTGCTGGCAAAGTCTCCTGGGCTTGGATAAGCAGTAATTTAGGTTTTCCTAGATGTAGAGGTTGCAACATAAGTTATCTTGTTTCATGAACATGCGTGTCCTTGCTGCTGAAGCACAAAATGAAAACAGCTGTGCTGCACCTTGAAAATGATCTTCCCACATAATACTTACCCTAGAGGGCTCCCTTTTGCCATGTACTTAAGGAAGATGATCTGTCATGAAGAATATTTATGGAGAAAGAATTGTGAGATCAATTTTTCTATTCCTCCATGGTTTAATATTGTTTCTGCAGGTGTATTTTTTCAAAGGTTTGGAAAGCCTACTTCAAATAAACTTCCTCTCCTTCCCTATAGAGCTGATAACTATCTAGTAGACCACTCTGCAGTCAGTACTTACTAAGTTATGAGTTATTAGGAGAAATTTGGTCACATTCCGAGTTTGGGAGAACCAGACCATTCTCACTGTAGCTCATAAATACCAATATGAACTATCCAGTGGAAAATGTGCAGTGGTGGAATAGGTATGGAAGTACTTGTGAAAGTCAAAAGCCACGAAAAGAAGAAAAAAGAGGAGCTCTACGTCACAGTTTCTGGCAGGAGATTGTTGTTGTAAGAGACAGATTTCCAACTAGGGCAGCTATCCATGCACTCCTGGTGCAGAGCTAGCCTTACAGGACTAGTTCAGCAGTTGAGGAGGTAAATCCTAAGCTAATGCCTAGTCCATTGCTCTTACACTGGCTTTTGCTGCAAGAGCCTTAAAATGAATTTTCTTTTTGTTTTGCTTTATGCCTGAGAGACCTATTTTGGGAAAGAGGCAATCCTCCACATAATAGATCTGAAGAAAGCTTGTAATCAACTGCCATTTGATGGCAGGGTAAACTTTCACTACCCTGCATGGTGGCACAGTCCCAAGGCTTTGGATTAGTGAGGTTACTCTGCATGTGGGACTTTGCATAAGGAGGCACTAATATATTTCTGCTGGGCTGGCAAAAGTTCGTAACAAATCTGCAGTGCTCCTTCAAAGATCACCATAAACAATTCAGTGCTCTCATTAGTGTCTACACCCTGCAAATGCTTAAACCACAAGAAACCACAAACCACAAGAAACCTGCGAACTGAATAAACAGCTGCTGCTCTCAACTAAAAATCAATTATACAAGATTCTGCTAATAGACAGGCATTTGCTT